AACAATCATTAAATATTGGAAAAATTAAAAATTTGATATTGAATTTTTTTTTCTGAATTACTGGTTGTGTGCCCTAGAAATAAATATTAAAAATGGTAATATTGATGGAACCAAAGAAATGTATAATATTGAATTTATGGATGAAGAGGTTTTGGGGCAGAGAATGCCCAGTGATGGCAGTGATACATTAATAAACATGATTTTAAAAACTATATAAAAATTATGTTTTGAATATGAGTAATATGAATTTATTATAATGAACAGTCCTAATTCTAATCCATTTAATTACGCATACGTCGGAAAACTTGCATTATATGACTGAGAAGTCAATCTATATTAAATATAAATTTTTAATATTAGTGCAATACTGGTGCAATACAGTATGAAAAAACAGTGCTGCAATTTAAATGTCAATTTCTTTGAAAGTAAAAAATAAAAAAATAGATATATTAGGAAAATAAATTATAAAATAGCAATAAAATATTTATATTTGGTATTGTAAACAAAATTATTAAAATAATTTGTTAATAGTTTTAATATTTTAAACCCTTTCTTCCTTTTTCCAAATTGAAAATTTTGTATTGACCGAGAAGAATAAATAATAATAATACTTTTTTACAGCGTGTTTACTTACAATCATATTTTATGTTGCTTTGCTCTTTTTTTTCTATAATTTGAAATAGGTCATATGTTTGAAAAATAGCCCTTTTACAATTAATTTCGTAGTAAAAACAAACCCCCTTGGCCACTTTAATTAAAAAAAAACTTCAGAAAAACACTTTTTTTTTCTTAAATTTTCCCAGCGAGTTTAGAGTTCAGCCCTGCAAATGCAACACGTCATTGACGACTCGGATTATAAAGTGAACCGAAGAAGAAAGGAACAATTAAAGGGGTAAGAGCATTGTGCGTTTGTATTCAAATTAGTGCCGAAAAGCCGGCGCTGCAGCTTTTTAATGCGAGAGCGTCTCTCTCTCGAGACGTTTGTACTCTCGCATTGTGCTGGACCGCGGCGAGGATGTTGCGTGAGAGAGGGAAGAACAAAAAGAACTGAAGAATGTCACCGCGGGCTGCACATACATAAAACTCTTGAGGATATAAATTTTAAGAGGGAGCCGCCTGTCGAAAAATGAAGATCCTCTCTTTTGTTTGCTCTGCGCCTCTCACAAGTCAGTGCAGGTCTCGCACCGAAACGAATGCGAGATCCTCTCGAATCGCCGCAATAAATCAAAAAGGCAAATAAATCCAATTAAACTAGCCTGCCGGCTTAAGTCTGCGATAAATCAAACTGCTTTATTGTCGGATTTTTGATTAGTCGTGAGAGTGAAGAATCAATATTCGTGCCAGATCACTCCATATTTGGACAATATTTTAATGGCCAAGCACAACAGGTGCGTGACATGACGTCACTTCAATAAGGTTGGGTTTATAAATAAGGAACAAGCTGTTTTCCGTTTGTACAAATTATTATATTCGCTCACGCTAAATCCAGTGGCACTAAATGCGTGGAGGAATTCTGAATTAAAAGAGAGAAAAACAAAAAAGGAAGCCTGTTCCTAAAAATTTAATATTTGCACATGAATTGGAAATTTAATTTTTGTAATAAATTTGAAAGAGGAAATTATTTTTTTCAGAAAATTTGGTGTTTTTAGCTGAAAATTGTTTACTTTACAGTGATTTCAAATGTGTGTTCTTTTCATATGTTTTGAATCTTAAAATAGTTAATTTCAGGTGAAAATAGGGATTGTTTTTATTGTTCTATATTGTATTTTATTCCTCTTTTTTTTTTAAATTGCCTACAGTGGTACGTACAGCAGTATTTGTCTTGTTTTTTTTTTAATTTCTAGTTTATTGCCATAATAATCATCACAAAAAGTTTTTTATAGAGGAATTTCACCAGGGCTGATCAGATTAATATTTGTTTAATTGAACTAATTTAAGCTTTTTGAGCATTAAATAATTATATTACTTTTCTGTAAAGCAATGAACGACTCAATAATCCTTGAGGAGAGCCGAATTTTAATTAAAATGATTTAAAATTTTATTATAAAAATTTAATAACCTTTGTCACCACGTCTATATTAATTTCTATTTTTCTTTAATTTTTTGGATTAAATTAATTTAAAGGTGCTAACAAGAATAGTGTGAAAAGTGTGCGAGCATATAATGTCAAGGAGGCGTCGTCTCCGTCTGTCTGCTCGGTTTGACCTTTCGAAGGTTCTGCCGGCTCAACCTCGTCTCTTAATTATTGCGCGCCGCGGTTATAGTGAGTCAGTCAGTCTTTTTCTCTCTTTATGTGTGGCGCCAAAGCACGATTTTAGTGCCGCGTGTGTATCCCGATCGGACACACGGTATGGCCGCTTGGCTTTTATTCAGATTTATCTTTTCTTCCAGCTGCACCCACGCTGGGCACAATCTCGTCAATTTCGCCTCACTCGCTGCTCGATCTGTAATGCAAGGCAGCAACAAAAGTCTCCGTTTGCAAGACGAGAACGCCGCGCCCACGGCATCAAACGCGTGTAAAGTAAAGACTGCTGGTGATTTTTGCAAATTTAGTAAAATTTTAACAAAAGTATTTAATATTAACTTAAAATAAAATTTTTAATTTGTTTTTAAATATCATTTAAATAAATTTTTGATATTAATTATTAAAAATAATAAATTTAAATAATTATTTATTATATTTTATTTTATTAAAAATTTTTATTTGATTTTAAATTTATGTTCAATAATTATTTCTATAAAATAAAATAATCATTATATGTAATTAATCTAATGAAATATAAATCATCAGAAATGATCTAAGCCCTTGTGAAATAAGGTTTTATCAAAATAAAATAAAGTTATCTTATCTGGCATTCGGTGCTCTATCCAGAATAGCATATTTTAATGTAAGCTTGATATTTGAAATATTGTATTGTTATTTATTGTATACATAAATTTCAATGAACATTTTAGGACTATTTTGTCTTCCCTGGAAATCAACACCATATATATGTTTACGCTATAAATTTCATGTACGGACAATTCATTTTAATCTCCCACTTATTCGAACATCGGGGTTTTGTCCTCTTTCTCAAATTTTATGTATGCATAAACTATGTAATAACTTTAATGTTCAAAATTAACAAAATAGGCCTTTCCAGGCAAGTAGTTGAATGTCTACGTACAAAGATTTAAAATATTTTAAGAACTGTCACATTTTATTTGGTTTTTTATAAAATCTGTTCTTGTAAAATAATTGCAACAGAGTTCATCACAGATTTGAAATTTATTACCTGATAATTATTGTCGGCCAATCAACACCTTTGCGAAACAGCACTTAAAAATTTATGGTGCCCTCAACGCAGAACGAGTCTCTCCAAATAAATTTAATTCTGATTATATGCATGTGATAAAAGACGGCCACTGTGTTACCAGCTGAAATCTCGACCTGTCACCGGTTGAGTTCACCAAGTCATATGTTTTTCGGTTCTTACATCTTTCAAAGGATGAGAATAAATCAAGGTGCAAATTGAAATGCAAATTGCCGCAGGATAATAAATAATCGCTTCTCGGCAACAGGCGCGCGCTTAGTAGCAGAGAAAAATTAAATTTATCTCCGCAAAAGTATTTTGCCATTTTTGGGCAAAGATCCGCACAGTTTTCCTTTAAAAAATTCCCTACGACTCGGAATGTGCGCCTCTTGTAGCAATTAATATAAATGTCTACAAAGAGTAATCGCCCGATTTATTATAATTATCTGTGCGTGTTTTGAGGTTTTGCTCGTTCTGTTGATGTGTCCGGACTGCAAAAAGTATATGTTTTGGTCAGCGCGAGTGTGTGCGGTGAAACTCCTACGCACCCTCTCGCAAAAGTGCGAGACTTTTTATTTTGGCACGGTTTAATAACCTCCTAGGGGCCATTTAGGTTTCCTTATGCATGTGGCCCACGTGGCTTCTGATTTCCAAACAGAGATCGCTTGACCATTCGTTGTCAGGCCATACGAAACGCGCACCTATATGGATTCGAGGAAATAAAAAAAGTGTCCACCAAAATGTGGGATGATTAAATCTGATTACGTACAGAAAACCTTTCTTTAAGGGTCTCATAAATTTTAAATTAAACCCGCAGATAAAACTTTCGAAAAGTTATAAAAATTCGGCTCATTTTATATAATTTTTTTGGTTCTTTGCAAAAAAAAAATGTTGAGGGGAAGTAAAAGTTTAAAGTTAACAGGCGCAAAGGAAAAGTGCGTCCTATATTAAGACCCGAGAGCAGTCCCTGCTGGCGGCTCTTCACAAGAAAGGTAATTGCCTTAATACATAATGGAACTCCATTTAAGGCACTAATTTCAGGTTGAAAAGCAGCAACTGCTTTTATTTCTCTGGCGGGCGGCCTTTTTAAAAGCAATATTTGCAACAATCGCATTTGCAGCGCCGCACGCGTCCCACAATTTCTCCTCCCAAAGTAGTCCAGCGAAGAATTTTTTTGCTCATGTCCATCGCTTGTACATTTTCCGCTTAATAGCTCAATTAATTTTATCTCAATTAATTATCACACAAGATGGAAAGGCGTGTCACGCACATTACGTTTTCTCATTTTTGTATTAATTTTACAATATTGAAGAACAAAAACTGGACTAAACCTTTCACATTTATAATTTACAAACCCATTCAAGAGTGAAGATTTGAGAAGAAAAATGTACTATGGAACTTTTTATTAAAGGAAAATCTGGTAAATTTTAGTCATAATTACCTCCAATTAAATTAATTTTTTTCTCCTCATATAATATTGTATATTTTTTATAACATTAAATATTTTTTGCTTTTAATGTGTGTGACGGTCAACTTCCATTTAGGAGTTTCAGCAGCACCCTATAAGGATCCACGCCCAAACCCGATTTCAATAATTACTTTTGCTCTCGGAGAGTGCTCGGGCCTATTAAGGTAAAAAAGTGGCGCGGATTGAATCAGCCGGCTTCGGAGAATCGCTTCCCCGTACAAAGCAGAAAGGGTACTCACGTTTGCATTCGTGGGCGTTGGAGGAAGAGGCCCTGGCCCAGGGCAGGTCATTGTAGAAGGGCAGACATTCGTTGCAGTCGGGACCTGCTGTGTTGTGCTGGCAAATGCACACGCGCCTCTGTGCGCCGTCCGAGCTGGTCGAAATGTCACATTCTGAAGCGTGGCCGTTGCACTTGCACCTGAAATTTAAATTTGAAAATAATTTAAAAAAGAATGTTGAATTGAATGGTAACACTCTAGGTGGATTTCATGAAAGATTGAAACTGGGCGAACCTCGTTGCAAAGAAAAAATGAAAAAATTAAGGACAACTGACCCCAAAGGCAACCTGCGGTCTGCTGGTACTTTTAAACCTAGGGTCCCAACTAAAACTAAGTGGGAGGAATAAATAAAAATTAAAAATAAAATGGGAGAATTTAATTTTAAAAAAACAAAAAAATGCAGAAATTAATTAAGCAAAAGAGTCAGTCAACAGCTTCATACTGTGATTTTGGCAGAAATTTCTAGGGTAATGAACCCAAAGACTTTTCTGGCAAAATCACAAGTAATCTGCCGCACTAGTTGTCCTTTATTTTTTCATTTTTTCTTTGCAATGAGGTTCACCCGGTTTAAATCTTTCAAGAATGTTAAACTTTGTTATTAAGTTCAATTTTAATAACAACTAATTTTATTGTTTCCAATTTAATTTAATTTTTGGTATGTTGGAAATTTTAGGTTTTAATTGATTACAATTATATTGAAATTTTCTGTTAATGTAGATTTGAAGAATAAAAAAAAATATTAAAAATTATTTAGTATTTATAGAATTAGCAACACAAAATTGATTTTAAATCAAAAATGATTTGTATTTTTTCAACTTTTTTAATTATTTTTAAAATTTGAAATCTAATATAAATTTTGAATTCAGCAATTAAATCATACATACCTTGCACCCACGGCAAATTCAGAAATGGCGTAGAAATATGACTTCAAGACCTTCTCATCTCCAAAAACCTCATCACCGAACGTGTTCAAACGGTCCAAAGTAATGCGAATGTCTGTGGCTGTGACCCATTCCTGAATAATGATAAATTTGCATAAATAATTGCATAAATGAGTGAAATTAAACATACCTGCAACTCTGCACTGTTGTCAAAGTTTTTGGCGGAAGGTCTGCCTTCGAGTGTTGAAAAAGCGACGTTCCCGCCCGTCAAGGGTGAGATGTCACTGAACTCTGACGTGCAGACCGCCCTCGACTCGTCGTTTCGACTGATGTAGTTGTCGTCTGTCCGACCGTACGTATCACGACAGGTGGCACTAAAATTTGACAGAATACCATGATGTTAAAAAATGTAAAAAAAAAAAATATAATTATGTTTATGTTTAGTTTCATTAATAAATACTCTGGCATATCAATTGGCTATTCAGTTTATTTACCCCGCCATTGAAAAAGCATAGCGGGTGGTAGCTTAAGTTAGTCTGCACTACCTTAATTATATTCCCTCAAGGAACATCTCCAGTTCTTTTAAAATAAAGTAATACCAGAAATAAATATTCTAAATTTAATTAACCCCAAAACCGTTCATCCAGTCCAGATTTCTTTTGTCAAGAGAAATGCAACGATAGAAATATAAACGTATGTAAATATATAACTTTAATGTATTTTATATAAAAATACTATTTAAATTATTATTTAAATGTCAGACTTAAAATTATTGCTCTGCCAAATTGTTATAAAATTTTAATACAAAATAAAAATAAATTAAACAAAATTAATTATTAAGTTGCATGAAAAACATTAAAGCGAAATAAAATGTATAATTATTTTTATAATTTATAAAAACTATAGTGTTTTTACAGAGAAATGTATCTCAATAATAATAATTAATGTTTACTTGTTTATCTCTACAAATATTGAGTTTTGGTCAGTTAAAAAGAAATCTTGTCCCAATTTCAATTTTCTAGAATAATAAGGGAAAGTGTCAAAATTTAATTGCAGGTTGAATGAAGTTGGAAGTCGCCCTCTGTGGCGTGGATCAGGAGTTTGGAGAACAATCGTCTGCGGCTCGAACGCTCCCTCTCGAGATGCTGGCGTACCAAGCTTAAGGAGACGAGCCTCTTCTTATTTTCTTTAAACTTCCTAAAGAAGCTCTGGAGTGCAGAAAGAATTACCTGTAATACTGGAAGGGCACCCAAGGACCGTCTTCCTTCGTCCGCTTGAAAATTGCAAAACTCTCGGGCTTGGGCGAGTAGAAGACAATACGGACGTACGTGATGTCAAAAGATTTTTCTGCAAATTTAAAATGAAACACAATTCAATATATATAAACTTTTAAAGCTGGAATATATATAATGAGATGAAGTTTGGATTCCGATTGAGAGTCTGCATTTTTGCACGCAATTAGCATAACTCTCTCTGGTTTATGTTACGCAGCCGTGCAGCTGCAAGAAGATATTTTTATATTTATAAAATAATAATATATATTGTAAAACGGCAGCAGCGAAGGTGTAAACGCTTTAAATCAGCCGGCGGTCATTTGTTGTTTGTATTCAATGCACCTTGCTGCTTTTTGCCTTGCGAGAGAGAGGTGCGATAATTCCACCGAAGAGGAGTGAATAAGCAAAGAGACGCTACAGGAGTGTGTTTATTTTATGCAATGCATCGCCGGCGTTTATTTCACGCCTAATGAGCAAAACAAGAGACGTGTTTGGCTGCCGGCCGCGCAATCAACCTTCATCCATGTATAGGCTTTTATTTTCACGCGCCGAGTCTTAAATGCTAATAAAATACAAAGTGTCCCTCGCCGTGCCAACAACTCTCCAGAGAGAAGACAACGCAGCCGATTCTTTCCGCTTGAACACCACTCGAGATTATTTAACACACTTTGATGGGAATCAGTGATTTTAATCGGCAGTAAATTCAGCTCACGGAATTAATGACGATTAATTTAAAATAAATGGTGTAATTTTTTTTTTAATTGGAAATAATAAAATAACGTTTCTAAGCGGTTTTCGGTAGGGATGTGGGAAAGATTTTGGAACGCTCCTTTTTTCTTATGATGAGTTTAAAATAGAATAATTTAATGTATTCAGAGGTGCGCAACTAAAAATCTAGTAATCCTAGAGTAAATTTTCTTATCTTATCTTATTCCTTGTTGAGATTACAAAAGGGTCCCAATTTGTTTTGTCTTTTTTCATATTGATAGTTAAGAGAATTAAAAATTGTAAACAATATAAACGCTGAAGCAAAAATAAAATATTGCACATTACGAGTTAAAATTTAGATTTTTTGTTGAAAATTTAAAAAATATTAATTAAGCACAGCAAATTTCACTGAGAAAAAAATCAACTAAGAATTATTTCATTATTGCATCTTTAATTCGTTCTTTTGAGACTGTTTTTCTTAGAAATAAAATTGCATCATATAATGTGAAAATTTTGATCAACTACAATTTAAAACTATAACTTACTTATTAAAAAAAAAGATGATGAAGAAAAATCGTGTGATTTAAAAACAACAAAATTGCAATATTTGTTTCAAAATTAATTTTGCACAATTTTCATATGAATAAAGCGAAGAAAGCATGGGTCATGTTCACGAAATAAACAATAATAATAATAATAATAAAGATTATAATAAAGATAATATCAAATAATAGGGCAATTTTCAAGGCTTGGCACTTGACCTGATTGTGTTTTTCTTCAAATTCTGCATGCTTTGATCAGATCTTTGAAAGTTACTTTAATTAAAAACAAATTCTTTTCTGAACAAAGGGACATTGAGGAGCAGTTTGATTATTTTGACACAAAATTATAACCACAAACTCAGATATTGTAAGGAGATGAGGCGTTGTGTAATTTTAGTTATTGTTCAATTGGTTTTTTTTTATTCTCTTACATACAGGCCAATTGTATTTTTGTTGTGTTTTGTAACAATGAGGAAAAATAAACAACAATAACTGAAATTAAAAAACACCTCTCCTTACAAAATCTGAGTTTGTGGTTAATTTTTGTGCCAAAATAATCAAACAGCTCCTTGTCATTTTCCCTTTGTTTAGGAAATATTTCCTTTTAAATTAATTCAACTTTCAAAGACTTGAGCAAAGAATGCAGAGTTTGAAGAAAAACATACATTCAGTCAAAGTTGAAAATCGCATTGAAAATGTACACATGCACACATACCGACGAGCAACTGACGATTTATGGCGCCATTCTTTATTGTTCCATTATTTTATCATTCATCTTGCGAGCTGCACACAGCAATAAAAGAAGAAAATATGCAGCTGGGACGCGCGCAATGATCTAATGATCTCTGCCCATTTAAATAAAATTGTGCGAGTCCGGTGTGCGCGCAATAAAAGGCATAAAATTCACACGGGCTTTTATGAATTATTGTTGTACAAAGCGGCCGATATAAAAACGAGTGAAAAATCTAATGGTCGGCCGCATGCTCGCCGATAAATCAAAATGAATTATCGTCGTCGGAGCAAAAATATTACGTGCCGGCGCTGGCGCGTCCAAATTTATAAATGAATGAGTCACGCCGTTAATTTTAACTCGAGACACTACTTGTCTTCGTCTCGCAGATAAATAGCGCCCTTTTCGTATTTTCGGTCGTGATTTTCTACAAACCACCTGAACCCTTTTCTACGCCTGTGTGCCGCGGTGATGCTCAATGAAACAGACACCGCGCCGAGAGAGAGAACCACAAAAAATATAACACTTGACAAGTGGAATTGAGCGGAATATTTGGAGAAATATGCCTCGTTCAAAGAAGAAGTGTACGCGTCAAAAATAAAATCCATGCAAAAGAAAGAAAAAACTGCTGAGAGCATCATTAATTCGCATGAGATTTTTTGTGGAAATCGTCAGGTGTATAATCAATTTGATGATGCATCATTAGCAAACGCAAACAGCGGAAAATTGACTATTCAATCGTTGGTAATCATAAAAAAAAGCGTAAAAAGAACTACACATTATAATAATTTATTTATTTTAAAATTACTTAATATTAAATGTGTTTTTATTTTAATTTAAAATGTTTAAAAGAAAATTGTATAATATTAAATAAAAAAAATTAATTTAAATTCTAAAAAAAAACATATCTGTCTCTGTATGCAATAATTTTTTATTTTAAAATACAAAATTATTGCTAACACAGACAGATATGTTTCCTTCAATTTAAATTAAATTTTTTTGAAAACATCTTCATACTTTTATACACATTCTTAAGTGGACTAAAAGAAGATTTAGCATTTATGGAATTCCCATTGATTAATGATTTCATTAATCTGAATTTTGCAAGAATTTTTGCTAAAAAAATGTACACAAATAAATATTGAATATATAATGATATGATTGGACTGATCCTGATTAAACATGTGTACGTTTTTTAACTACCATCTTATTCTTTTATTTTAAAGATTGTTTTGAGGTTTTATTAAAGTTTTTACCATAATTTGATATGGGTTGCAATTCTCGTAATGTTTTCAAGTAGAATTGAAGAAAGAAGACTTATAACGACCATTTTATTTCGGCTCAACAATGACAAATTGCAACTAATTTGACCTAATAACAAATAATTTGAAAGAGAAATTAACTGCTAATAAAAATACTAATTTTTTAATTAAATTGAATGTTTTTAATTATTATTTATGATTTTTAAACTAATTTTTTTTCTTCACCTGTCTGTTCCAATTATTTAATTTCATCTTTTGTTTACCAAGAATTGATTAAAAATTATAATGTATTAATGCTCAAAAAATAAAAAAATTTCAACATCTCAGTTAAAAATCTTTGACAACTGTTTGAAAAACATCGTGTATCAGAATTTTCTTATTCAAAACTGCATGGCAGGAAGTTTATTTGTGAGGAATGTCAATATATATTATTAACCTCGGCAAATTTGATAGTCGCTCTACATCAACTGCGTGCGCTGCGCTATAAATTTAACGAGAAAAACGCACACGCCGGTTAAACCTTTTCTCGTCGTGTGTGGCTCAATTTTTAATATTTATTCGGCTCGTGTAGAGTACGCGCAGGCGACTCTCGTGTGTAGAATATAATAAAGCGTTATTATTTCCCCCTGAAAAGGCCAGCAAAGCGAAGGCTCTCAATCTATAATCAATTTGCATAAACAACGTATTAACCGTGCACGGTGGAACGAGCGAAAAAACACAGAGAGCGACATGTCAATGAGGAGTGCTGGGAAATAATATGCAAATAGCCGGTGCACGCTCTCTCGGCAGGGGCGTGATGGATTTCTCAACTTTTGCATACAAAACGTCGGCCGGTGCAAGAGCGATAAACTGTGACATCACGTGATGGACTCGCCCCTCTCGAAGAAATATAAAATGGTTTAAATTTGCGGAACGAAAGAATGGATCTATCTCTATTGTCTAGAATGTAAGACGATATGAGTATATATGCTTTGGAAATAAATTTTAAATAATTGTTATGCCAAAACGCAATATTTTAATATACATTAGAATCAGTTCATCAGTTCTCTACAGATTTTCTACAAAATTGAATTACCATATCATTGATAACTGCACTGCCTTGTATATAATATTTTTTTACCCTTAATTACGTTATAACGATGATGTACTGAAATGAGTTTTACAATAAAAACCTAAAAACTAGCCATTTAATACAAATGTTAAAAAATATTATAAATTTTAAATAAAAATTATAATGGAAATGAAGAGATCGGGCTTTTCCTCGTTGCAGAAAAATTGTTTTTATTCAAAAACAAATGGCTCTACCAGTTTCGGTCACGGTCTGCGACCCTATTTCATGAGCAAACGCGCTGCTCGCTGACTAATACAAGAAAAAACAATTTTTCTGCAACGAGGAAAAGCCCGATCTCTTCATTTCCATGATCATCTCCTCGAGTGTCAACTTCTTCAAAAAAAAAATTATAATTTGAATTTATTAATAAGATATTAAAATAATCGTTGAAATATAGAAAATTATATATTTTGCTTAATTATTTTATTTACAATTTCATAAAGCAATAACTTCTACACTTATGCTGACCTTATAATGCTAAATTAATTTTAAAAGTAAAAAATAAACATTGAAAATATCAAATTAGAATTACTTAACACGTCATATATTTCATCACAGCATAAAAGACTTGAATAGACAGAATTTTCCTAAAATAACCTTTCTTAACAAGAGAGTCCTGCAAGAAAAGCGTTCCTATATGTGAGGAAAAAATTTAGTTGGACATTTTTTTTAATTATTTTGGTAAAAATTTGACGCAGTTTTGGTCCACGGCAGTTTGACTTCAAATAACGAAATTGATAAAAATTTGAGTGTATGAGTGGAATTTTCGTAAGTTCTTGCATGCTCCTCATTGATTTTGTAGTTAAATTGTTATTATTTTAAATTCCAAAAGTTAATTCAAACAACAAACCGACAAACGTTTCATTATGAAATATAATCAAAATCTTCAACGGCAGACTTTTATTTTCGGGCGTTTAATTTGATTTAAAATAGAAAACGATTGATTGTCTGATTGACTAAAAATTGTCTCAATGGGATCAACAAAAAATTCTGTCGCCTCTCAAAACGCGCACGTTCGCAGTTGTGTTTATATCCAAAGCCCGTTTCCATGACCCAAGTGAGGCATGAAAAACCGCAAAAGGAGTGTCCGAATGGACTAAGCTGCTGGGAAATCGGATATTTCTCGCAGGCCATTTGAGCGAAATAATATTTTTCATACCAAAGAGTGACGTTTGCAAGACATTTATATTCAATTTAGAAATGTGGAGAGATGGTTTCTCGGATCGAGTTTCGGCCTGCAAAGGTTGAAACGGCCCAGCAGATCGAATTGCGGCTGAAAATTGTTTTCGGTTTGACAAGTTGTCAGTCAGAGTGGTCGATAAATCAAACAGAGACGCTGCGGGCCATGCCAGAGATCGAGCAATTAGGTGCGCGCTGAAGGCAGTAATCTTTGCACCGCGCGGCATTAAAGCGCGTAATCAGTGAAGCGCTTTATGCAAAATCGCCGCCGGCCCGTTTTATTATTATTATTATTAAGCATAGAGAGAGAGTAAAGGGGAAAAGCTAGAAGCGCGGATTCATAAATTATATAACTGTAAAGAGCGCACAGGTTGTTGCGGACGAGAATTAACTTGGATGAGCAGGCACAAAAAAAAACGACGGTGAAACTCGATACCGGCCGGTAAACAATTTATTGCAACAACACAATTTCCAGTAATTTGTTAAGGTCAATTAACCGTATAATTGAAATGTGCAAGCTACAAATTGTATAAAATTTAGTGATAAATTGATAAAAATGTGAAAAATTATTTATGTATTTCTGTTAATTATATTTTTATGTATTCGTATAAAATTTTATTAAATTATTTCAAAAAATTTGTCTGACGGCAATGAGTGCAATATGTTTGTAACTTTTTGAATTAAACTGTAAATTTATCTCGATTCATTTCTATGTCTCTCCCAGGAAGCCAAACGTGTTTCACTTTTTAATCAAAGTGCTCCCCGGTCTCAGGGTACAGGAATGGCCGCCGCAATAGGCAAATATTTCACTTGACTTTAAAATCTGCAATTAATCTTATGCTTTACAATTAATTTTATTAAAATATATATTTTTTTTATAAAATTTATTTTTGGTTAAGAATTTTATTAAACTTTTTAAAAAGTATTTAATTAAATTAATATTATTTTAATAATATCCATTGTGGAATTTTTCATAATTTAATTTGTTTGTATAACCTTGATTTTTTATTTAAAAATAATAATTAAAAAAAAATATACATTTACTATTCTTGGTCATCGACAATGTCAAAACTTAGCTCTATAACAACAGAATCAGATACGCGAAGAGTCGCGAGTATTGAGGTTATTATTGATATTATGGATATTATTGAAAGAAACTAATTTAATAATGTAAAACGTCTAACAAAAGCAATATTTTTGATCATATGTAACGCTAATTGAATTGAATTTCATCAACATTTTAAACACCTCCTCAAATTAAATCAAAAGTCCGCCAAAATTTGATCATTTTCAGGATAAGTTTGGCTTTATAGTTTCTTATTTTTCAATTAAACTGCATGATTTGTGGCCATTATTATTATTTGTTTCATTAGTGTATAATCATATTCTGACTTCTGACTCCGCGAGAATGATTGGCATGGGCCCTCATTTAAAACTGTTGGACGCGCGCCGTGACCACCCAAATAGTCTTTATTTAAAGCCTCCGAGATGTGGGAGACGCGTCAAGTACAAGCCATAAGAAACCTATCAACTTGAATTTCAATAATATTTTCATTAAAATAAAAAAGAAAATGTCCGTTTCATTTTTATTGGGAAATTAGTTAAAAATCGGTCAGTGAAAATTTCTAAGATGAAATTTAAACAATTAAAATGGGATTAAGAACTTGTACGTGTTTTTGCAAATATACTTTTTTTTAAGTCCGGTGATTTTTACGTGAAAAAAAATGAAGATAAATTTTTAAATATTAACGCAAGTGATGCTCCACAAAAAAAAAATCGGTTTCAATTTTTAAGTGGCACGAACTTCTTAATCGATAAAATAAATTGTTATAATTAAACTAAAGATCTAGATTTTTTCAAATAAAATTGCACACTTACGCAGGTGCAGGGTGAGGTTGACCTGCTCAAGAGTCTCGTACATGGTGTCCGACTGCCACCAGGTGAGGTCATCGGCGTTGTTGAGGTCAGTCAGATATTCGGGACCGTGCGAGTGGGGTGGGTAGCGGGTGCAGTTGAAGCACGACTTGTCGTTGGCGTGGCCAGACTGGATGCAGTATTCGCTCGGCTCGCGGCTGTTTTCGCCGCAAGTGTTGGTCGCCTCCACAGGCATTCCAAAAGCCGCGTTTTCGAATTGCGGAACGCATCGCTGTAAAAAAAAACATTCATTTTATTATTTAAATCAGCAGCAATTTATAGAATTAGACATAATTTATAATTTATTAATAAATTTTGAAATAAAATAGCTCAGAAATTAAGTATTTTACAAAATAATGGACAAAATATTCATGGGAAATTTGCAAATTATTTTAAAATAAATCACTGTAAACAATTTTTTTGCTCATGAATGAATTTAAAAAATGAAAACAAACTATTTGTCACTATATGACCGCATAATTCACCCTTTTTTAAATTATTTCGTGGCTCTGATAAATTGCTATTAGCAAATAAATACGCCAGCAGTCTCGTGCAGGCTGTTTAAAAAGCTACGTAATCTCTTCATTATCACCTGCTTTTGAAGTTGCCGCGCGTATGCCTGCCTGCTTTTTCCACATTCGATTCGCGTTCGAGAGCAGAAAGGATTTAAAAGGCTCGAGCGAGAGGCAATTTAAATATCGTAAAAAGCTCTCCGATCACCGCACCGGTAATTGCTTTGTCCTCTCTCTTAATAGCCCGGTTGCATACATTTTATTCTAATTACTTGTTCATTATTCAGTAATTAATCTCGCTGAAATTGCGGTCGTCCGTCTTTCGCCGTCAGCAATTAAAACTTGGAGAAATTCCTCGGAAAATAAGTACAATATATTTTTTTAGCCACGTTCTAATTTTCTACAAAACAGGCTTTGTCGAAATGCGTGTGTGTTCCTCCTTCCCGCCCTTTTGGCAACGAGTGTAATTAGCGTGCGGTTGAATGGAAGAAGAATGAGCCAAGCAGAAAGAAACTCTCTTTGAATCAGGTTTCTTTCGGTTGTGAGGAGGCGTAGCAGGTAAGAGGATTAAATGACCATCACACCCGAATGACCACTTTATGGTTTCAAATGAATAGCCCGCTTGCATTCCATCTCCAAACACAATGGTTATATTATTCGAGTAGAGTGTGCTCTGCCGATTTTGAATTATTTTTACCACCACCTAAGACCGAAATGAAAATTAAACGGTTTTGAAAAACTTGCAGAATTTAATCATATCCATGAAACCGTCAAATCTTTAAATTGAATATTCAAAATTAACGTTTTTTTTTATAGAACACAAATTGTGACGATGCAGAAGCAATTGAATTTCTCAATTCAACCAAATTCTACTTGTTCAATATCAAACAATTTATAGAATAGGGTTTAAATTAATCTACTAATTATTTTGATTTCCTGAAGTTACCCTTCAAGTCAAATTTATTATATATTATTTTTTAGCAAATTATTATTATTAAATAACAATAATATTATTATTAAAATAAAAATAAATTAAAATAACTTAACATTATAATAAGTTAAAATTAAATAAATTAAAATAAAAGAGTCATTAATTGTTGAATTCAAATAAAGTCAAATAAACAGCTGCTGTCAATACTTGTCGGAAAGGAGCTTTTGGAAGAAAGGAATCTCTCTGCTACAATAAAACGGCCTAAATTTGGAGTTCCGAAGAAAAAATAAAGAGTTTAAAGGCCATTGGAAGTTCTGGTGTGTGTTTCTGGCCGTGCGCCGACGTTGATTTATTTCCTTAAGAGAAAAGCCGTGACCAAACAATGAAGCATCACTGTCTGTAAAGTTTTATGAGCGTTTCTCGCTAGCATGTTGTAGGAAGAGGAAACTTTATCAGATAAGTCATCTCTCGCAGCAAAAAAGCAAGCGGCGGTATTATGTGTTTCGAGCCTGCAGCGAGTTTCGTCTCCGCGCCGATCGCCAACTAATAGAAAAACCTCGATTTGTATGAATGACTTCAAATTGTTTGCTTCGATAAAACGCTATAATAGAATTTGTTTAATTAGCATAATACAAAACACTATTTTTATATAAAAAAATTAATTAAAAGTATAAATTTTTAATCTAAAATAATTTCTTTTTAAACTATTCTATCTTAGTCAATTCCATGGTTCATGAAGAAAAATTTTATAACTACACGAAAAGTTGATGGGTTTTGTATGTTTTTTCTGTGTCAAACATTATAAAAATTCATATCACCATGAAAAACTTCTTCAATCAAGAACCTTCAATATTTAATGCATTTTTGCATTTCAATTTAGATTTTCGGAAATAATTTATTATATTTTTGCTATAAATATCTGCCACAAATTCACGTTATACGCGGCTGGCGGCATTTTGTGCATCTATAAAAAGGAGCAGACCATTTAATTTTAATAGTCTCGAGAGATAACAATCATAGCTTGAAGTGTATCATCCGCGTACAAATTATTATCATGACGTAAGTCTGATGTCATCTTCGCTACTGCCACCGAGTTTAATTGCCGACTCCGCTGCTCGTGTGATATTATTCTTTCCATATAGCTGTTGTCAGGCCGCCCTCAACAACAGCTTGTGGCCCTTAAAAAATTTCCATCACACTCTGGAATGCGCTCAACATTAAGTGACAGACGCCATGTTAAAAAGCATTTAGACATTTTTCCAACGGTTAATGTGCCAATAAAAAGTTTGAAATAAGATTAATTTCAGTACATCCAAATATGCTAAAAGAGATGCATTTTATAAATTTATTATTATACGTTTGATTTTTTTTATTTTGCATGTTTCGGGACGTGAATTTGTTTATGATCTACTTTAAGTTTTCTTACAAAAAAGTTGCAGGGGCACTCCTAGAAACCCACTGAACATGTTCCCATTTTCCTAATTATTTATTAATCTTTTTCTTCTATCTATAATACAAATTTGAGTTTCTCATTATTGGAATGCAATGAAACACCCACAAAATATCTTGATTAAGAATAACTTAATATCTAAGGAGGGAACTCACCAATATGATTGAAAAAAAATAATGATTAATGATAAGAAATAAGACTACTATTCTCTTAACTGTAAAACAAAATATGCTTAAAACTGTGAAAATTTCATTTTAAAATTATTTAAAAATTATAAAAAAAATTATTTATAATATATATTGTTTGATATAGTTTAAATATATAAAATAGAATATTATCAAATTTACATTATATATTTTAAGCTGTTACTTAATTTTTTATGTTATAGTTTATATGAATATAATGTGTAATAAGATTTAATATTTATTTAAGACGTTTTTTTTTGTGTCTGCGTTCGGGTCCGATAGAGAACTCCCATATAAATGAAATTTGGATTTGTATCAGACACATTCGGTCTTGAATTTTAATGTTATTAACGTCTGACAGCCGCAGCACGCCAATGACTCTGAAATAAATCTGTATCTCCGGAAAGTCACGTCAGAGCGACTTCACGGCCACCATTAATAGATCTAAGATGTCATCTATTGTAATAGAAACGATGAAATACACTCGTGTGCTTTAGCACCGACGAAATTTATCGCCTTCGAGATTTGAAATTGGAAAGAACGAGGCAAATTGAACTGATCGAAATCGCTGACCTATACGGAGCTAATTCTTTCTTAACTTTCCAGGGAGGCCAAAGAGGGATTCGGTTGTGTTAAAATAACGTGCATCTTTTCGAAAGATGTTCGTAAAAGAAAGAGGCCCTTGGAGAGCTAAAGAAGAAGTTGTGAATGCAGTATTTCGATCACATCTGGTGTCAAGATGTGCGTTTTTGCCTCCACTTTCCACTTCGGCTCTCTCGTCTCGGCCACAAGATCCCTTCTCATCCCCTCAACAAAAGCAAAAATGCAGCTTCAAAGTTCAGCTGGAGAAAAAATGTTTATGTTCACAGAAACGAACATTTTCAACGAAGGAATGGAAATAAATCTCTATTTAAAATCATTTTAAAAAATTTCTCTGAATTTTGAGAAAATTTCAAATAAAAAGAATTCATTAAATTAGTACTTGTGACTAATCGCCCTGACGTGGAATTACGTTCCGAGACAACGAGTGGTTTTAAAGAATTTTAATTTTGGGAAATTTTCGCCCTCAATTAAAATTGTTTATTATCACAACAGGAATTTTTCTAACTTTTTTACACCGGCTTTGTCTCAAATATCTCGTTGTCTCGGAACGTAATTCCACGTCAGGGCGATTAGTCACAAGTACTAATTTAATTATTTCCCGTTTCGAGTGGTTTCTTTGGGTTTTAAATTCTCAAAAAAGAATTCAGCGAAATAATTTTTGAATTTCTTTCGTCTGCTTTTGCTGCTGATTTTGCGTCCACATGCTCGTCCGAAATTATGATTTAGGAAGGTTCCAGGAATCGCTGGCGACAATGACATTGTGCAGAGCTTGCACGCCCGAAAGCTGTTATTTTGGCAACACTTGCTGGAAGTATTCCAAGAAAAAATTAAGCATTTATCACTGAATGTATCGCAAACTCGGCGCACTTGCAGCAGAAGTAAATCTTGATGTGAGAGCGTTTTCCAGACTACGTTTTTCCCACAACACAAATCAGTTGTTAAAAAATTAAAAAAATTGCACTTTAAAACTTGGAGTTTCTTAATGTAAATCTAGAAGTAAAAACTATTATTTTATTGTAGTCTTTTTTTTTAAATATTGCAAAAATATTTGGTCAATTTCTTAGCGAAATTCTGAAAATGCTGAGATAAAACATTTAACAAAAAAATTTAATCCCCGTAAATCACAGAATTAAGCGTATAAATTTGTTCATTGTTTCTGCAATTTTACGAATTTTATAAAATCAACAAAAATTAAGATTAATTAATCAAATTCATTCAAGTCCATGCTCGTGTGCTCTGAAGAGAAAGGCTTTCGACGCCTTATTTTAATATTGACGATTTTCATAAAAATGAAGTTTTTATCAGTGAATTCTACGTTCCCAAAGCTAATCGACTTGAGCTTGCCTTTGAGAAAAATCAAGTGCAAGTTTCAGGGCGGAAGCCGTGACTGTGTTCTTTGATAACTCTCCTCCCGGAAGGTTGGGGGAGGCGAAAGATAACAGAGAGATCTCTTTCTTTCTCCGACCGACGCTAAAATTGAGAGCAAACCGTTCGATTCCTTGTATTGCTCGAGTTCATTCATGGCAAAACATCTTGAGCAAAGAAGTGATAAGATTTCTTAGTGAGAGCAAAATTTATGTTGAGACAAGCTTATAAAAAATTTTATTTAAAAAATTTAAAATTCATCTTTTTTGGTAATTAAAATGTCCTGATTAGTTTTGTTCTAAATTTTCTTAATTTGTTTGCAAATAAAAAAAAATCTAAATTATTCCCAAAAATTTAAACAAAATATATTTTTTTCTGGTCAATTTTTATTTAATATAAATTTTTTTCCGTGGAAATTATTTCAAATGAGAATGAAAAATCAGTCCATAATAACAAAAGTGCTTCTGTTTTCGTGGCCAAAGTTCGATTTTAAACAAAGTTGGATTTGAGGAGCAAACATTGGTGACTGACTGACTGATTGTGCCGCGATGAAACTCCATCCGAGGCCGGAGAGCGCGTCTCTGAATCAAGTCCTCCCACTCATTTTTCTCGAGAGTAAAACAACAGGCCCATTCATTCGCAGCATCGGCAGCAGAGAGATGAGAAAAGATCGCGCACGGCTGCAGAGCGAATAAATTTTTGCACTTGCGCATGCCCTAACTAAAGAGCGGTATTTATTAGCCGGGCCTTTCGACTTTTAGAGCGAGCTGCGATTTTTAAGCGTCGGACTCGAAATTGACTGCAAATATAAGTGTCAAAAGTGTCGGAGAGCTTTGAAAAACGGATTTATTTATGGAGCCCTAGAGAGAGAGAGAAGGCCACGTGGATTCCTCTCGACGCCTCTAAAGAGAGATAAATTTAATTTTAGGCAGCCGGAAAAAATTTGCAAAAGGGAGCAGAGAGGCGATTTAAGGAGTTGTTGAATTAAAGGATGGGATGGATTAAGTTGATTAATTATTTTATTAATAAAATTCACACAAACAATCCCATGTTTTTCTTTATGCAATTAAATTTTTTCTAAAATCCGCATTATTTTTTTATTTTTAGTTTTATAAAAGTGTGATTTCTCAATTCCTATTTTATTCGGATAGAGAATAAAAATTAAATTTAATTCTTTAATAATTTCGGTAAGTTTTCATTTAAAATTTGAATCTATTTTACAATATTTTAAAATCAGAATAAAAATGACGAGACCTCGCTTTGAATGAATCGCAGTTCAAGTTCAAATGTTAATTGTTGTCCGTATTTCACGCTTCGCAACAAAAGAAACGAGCGCATTTACTAGGAAGAGTCTCTCGTTTTGTGTGCGAAACGCATAATTTACGAGGTTGTATTCAAATGTGGCAGCAGCACTTTTCGTGAATGAAGAGCCATAAAAGTGTCCTTCCCCTGAACAGAACACGTCGGACGCCCACTCGCCGAGCACAGGTGGTCTCTTTTTAACACCTCCTTCATTCACCGAGACTTTTCTTTAAACGCTTCATTTGCAGCTAGAGAAATTTATCGCTCTTTTAATGAAGCCAAAAATCTTTAATTCAAGGTTACGTTTTGGACTTTTGAGAGAAAAATTGAGGAGAGCTGCCAGGAAGCGCGTGATTTGGGACGCCGGTTGATAAGGATCGAGATCGTTTCTGGCAGGGGGTCGCGAGGTCAAATATTTATGTGCCCGCCGTCTGCCGGTCCAGTTTCAAGTCTGATCGTTTTGCAAATTGCGAATCAATTTACTTGCCTTCAGGGTGGGCGTGCACATATTTTTCTCTCTCCTGACAAATTGCCAAAAAGCTTTGGAATTTATTCAAAGCTATTTTTCATACGAAAGTACCAACGGAGAATATTAATACAGAAAAAAAATTTAATACTTAGAAAAATCCAATTAAATTAGAAAAATCAAATGAATTGATCGAATTTACGAAGTTTTTGATTACATTATGAATTGAAAAAAAATAATGAATTTAGAAAATAATTCATTTTGCAAACTGACCTGCGCTTTTCCTTGGTCGTCGTAGCACTTGGTGGCTCCGGTGCCGGGCGCCCTCACTTGGGCCCAGGCCACATCTGGGCCGGTCAAACACGTGCATAGCACCAGGGCCACGGCCAGGCACCCGCCGGGAAAATCACTTGCTCGCCACCTACTCCGCATGCTTCGCCTGCCCGCCACCGACTGGAGGCCTCGAGAGGTCCACAGATGAGAGCGCGTCGACGACGCTGCTGCCACCCGCAGCACACTTGTTGCGCCTCGCGCCGCAAACCAATTTACTATTCAACTCAAAAATCATCATTATAATTTGTTTTAATATAAATATTATATACAAAAATAAAAAAAAAAATTTTCGTTTAGTTTTGAGAAATTAATTTTTTTCATATGATTTTTTTTTTATATTTGTTTTATTTGTAAATTTTACATTTATTTTATTAGTATTTTATTATCTTATGTGCATTTGATGACGAAATTTATTTCAAAATATTGAAAAATCGGCTCTAAATATTTAAATAAAAACACTCATTTCATGTATTCATTGAATAATGTTGCCATGTTTCAATTCATTAAAGTTTTTCACTGTTTTATTTACTGTAGCAGGTTTTTTAAAAAAAGCCCAAGATTACCAATGAAATTTAGCACGATCAAATTAGGATCAATTCATATTAAACAGGAGGCGTTATTACAGACATTATGCTACTTTTAATTATTTTTTACAAATTATATTTTTTTTTGTATTGCCCACGAAGAATAAATTTAATAACAGTTTTGAATTAAATTTGACTGAATTCCATATTTTTAATGAAATCTATTGCAAGGCCTCTAAATTAAGGCTCCATATCAAGAGTGAAAGGATGTTGCCTTTCCGCTTTCAATATTCGAGGAAGCGCCGAGCAAAGGCTTCGACAAACTGATGCATTTAGCTCTGATAAGGTATAAAGATGTGATGTTTTAAAAAATTTTAAACTTTTTTTTTAAATAATTTATAAAGAAACTGTCTCTTTAGGATAAAACCACCAAAATTAATTTGCAAGCATGATCAATTAATTATCAAATTTTTTATTTTTCGTTCACAATACAACAAGAATTAATTATTAATTTTGAATTCGTAATTTAAATTTTTTAGTGACGTTTCTTGGCCAATTCCAATTCTTAGATATTACATAATTAAAAGAGTTTCTTGTGAGCTGTGAGCGCATTTCCTTCCCACGTCGGTCGATCTGCTCTCATGTTTTTTTTCTTTTTTTCAAAGGCGCGCACCACACAAGGCGGCTCTCTGTCGGTTTTGGTCTTTTTGCTCCTCGGATCTCCAGATGTGCGCTCTTTCGAAAATATATATTACACTGACGGAGATGCATCTGCCTGCGCTTCTCGCTTCAACTCACTGCGCGCGATACAAAGTGGAAACAACAGGCATGTGCTGTGCAGTGTACATAAAATAATCGTATACACGAACACACAAGACCATCCTTCAATTACATAGAAAGACAGAGAGACTGACTGCAGACATAAACATGATGTGTATGACGTAGGCGTGATAATAATGCTAAACAACTTGGCCGGACATTAATGCTTATATATGTTAATGCGACAATTATGTGTGCGGACAATGAGACCAAGCAGAAAATAAATATTGCATTTAAGTTTTTTGCTTCCATGACAACAGAATTCAAATTAAGGTGATTCTTCTACGGGGTTTTGGGCAAAACTAGAAATGCTGCAATGGATTCCAAATGATTCAGATTTTAAGATTTGAACTATTGTGTGTTAATTTTTCAAGTATAAAAATGATTTATTTTCGCCCCATCGCTTCTTTACAAGGGCCGAAAGCAATGTCCGAAGGTCGAAAACGGGTAAAAATCAACGTTTTTCTATACCTTCTCATACTCGTAACTTTTCATTTCGCAAAGTAAACTATAATTTTCTAGATAGCTTTCGATTCAAAGATGTTAAAGTACATATCGAAAAAAAGCAACAAAATTATAACTCTTCTGTCATTTTATCACCCTCAGAGATATAGCATTTATAAATGGGCCATTAAAATTAAAAAAATTTGATTTCTCAGGGTGTGATAAAATGACAGAAGAGATATACTTTTTTGCTTTTTTTTGGATACTGCATCTTCTGGCGAATCGAAAGCTATCTAGAAAATTATAGTTCACTTTGCAAAATGGAAAGTTACGAGCATAAGAAGGTAGAAAAACGTGGATTTTTACCCGTTTTCAACCTTCGGACATTACTTTGGCCCCTTGTAAAGAAGCGATGGGGCGATAATAAATCATTTTTATACTTGAAACATTAACACGCAATAGTTCAAATCTTATAATCTGAATCATTTGGAATCCATTGCAGCATTTCTAGTTTTGGCCAAAACCCCGTAAGACGAGAATCACCTTATACATCAAATTTTCATGGATTTGAATATGTTATTTTGTTTTATGAAATTTGTGTAGCATAGAATTGGACCCAATTACCTTCTAATTTATGCAGTAAAGTTTTGCAATATTTTGGTCAAAGTGGATCGAAAATCTCAATCTTCTATCTTTTTCAACGCCCTAAATTTTTCAACATTTTAAATCAATATTAAAAATTTGTAAAACATATTCAGATAATATTGCAAAAAATATTGTATAAATGCTATTATCAATAATTAAATATACCTGAAATTTTTAACTTCAAAATGTTTGATTCATCGATTTACTATTATAAATTATAAGGTCCATTCTTTTGGTCCTAATTTATATTATCAATTCAATATCAGTTTTATTTTCAAATATTTATCATCAATTAATGCACAAGAAAAGTAGTTTTTTTTTGTAAACCCTGGGAAAAAACAAGAAATTTTGTTTTTACACCTCAAATTTAAATATGCAGATAAACTACACAGAAACTTAATATTGTCCTTTATTAACATGATCCAGACAATTTTGTCCGTAAATTAGTTTTAGAGAACGTTTTTCTGCTCTGAAAGTGAGAAGGTTCCATCCAATTATATAATCAAATCTATAAAATTTGTCTTCCGATCAATCATCTTCCTGAAATATTAATTCAAAACTCGAAACTCTCTCGTAACTACAAATTTTTGAAAATTTTATCCTGATTATATTAGTTTTCAATTCAATTTTATCATAGACTTATTTCTGTTCATCATCTTCCTCTGCAGCTTTTTCTTTCTTTCTTCTGGAAACCTCTGCGTTTTCTCTTTCCGCTTCAGCATCTTCATCCCCCTTTTTGGGAGTCGCGCTTTTTCCAGGCTCGGCGGCCGCGTCCAGCAACCTGTCCTGGCTCTCGGTCTTGCTGATGGTGATGACTGGGATTTCGGCGCGGTTTGAAGAAGTGGTCGAAGCCGTCGATTTGATCGTCGACTGGTGCCGAAGCGGCGCCCGAGACCCGCCCTGTTGCGACGGGTCTTCCGGCAGAGACTCGGGCTGCTCGGCGTCCGTGCCCTCTGCGTGGCTGTCCTGCTCGTCGGACACGGTGCGCGCTGCCGGACGCCGGGTTGACCGAAAAGCCTTGACACCTTTTTCTGGAGAAACGAAAAAAAATTTATAAGCGGATTTTTACTATTATTTAGCATAATAACTAATATCAAGTTAAAAATAAAAATTAAGTAAAAATGGGAATGGCAGAAAAATAGGTCATGATCATCTTTTATGTCTATTTAAAAAAAAAAAACTTTAAATTTATTATATTTATTAATTAATATTTTTCTGTTTTATTAAAATATTTAACAACAAGATATTTTATTAATTTAAAAATTTAAAATAAATAATATATTTTGTTTTATTTTAAATCTTTTATTTGAGAAGAATAAACATAATTTTTGTCTCATAGTTAACGATTTTTATCTGATACGTTGATTGAAATAAAAATTTATATTCACTTTCAAAAGGCAAATCAAATGATTGGAATGATAAATTCAAAATATAGCATTGGTTATAAATTGTCTGCATAATTTCATACTTTAAAACATCAAATTTCATAATTTATTCTTATATAAAATAAAACATAATATTAAAGGATTTTATTAAGTCTAAGATTTGATCTCATTATAAGCGTATAATATATTATAAAATACAATAAAGGTGGATAAAATAATAAATTTTTTAATTTGAGGCCTGTATCGATCAGGAAATGTATGTATATGTATTTTAATAATAAATTTATCTGTCAGAAAAAATTCACCTGCTGTTTTGCTGCTTTTCTCAGGCGTGCCCTGCTTGTTGACACCGCCATTGAGGAGACTTTGTTCCTTGGTGTCCGGCCTGGAGGCCGCGGCGGCCGCTGCGGCGGCGGCCACAAACGGATTGGCCTGTTTGGGAATTGCGGGTAGAATTTTGCGCCAGCGCGAGAGCAGCGCGTCGTTGCCGCCGTTGGGCGCGGCGCCGTCACCCTTTCGGTCCACCATCTGGAACATCTTGCGCCGCTCCTCGGTCCGCTCGCGACGCAGCTGAATCTTCAGGTCGACGTTGGCCTCGCGAAGGGCGCTCGTCAGCGACATCAGGTAGTAAATTATCAGCACCAACAGCAGCAGCATCGGAATCACAATGCCTGGTGACGCCACGTAATCCAAAACCAAATGCAATTTCCTAAAAAGAGGGAAAATATTTTTACTAATTTATAGCTTATGAATATACTTTGAAAATATTTTTATTTTTTCTGATTATATTATTTAGAGGATAGTTAAACAAAAATTAAAATCATAAGTGGGGAGATTTTATTTTAAAAATCAAATTTAATTTTTTGTGAATTTGCTGGAAAAAGTAAAATATCATTGAAAATAAAGATTTAAATTGTTCCTTTTCTTAGCTAAAATTATCATGAAAATAAATTGCTTTGTCAAAAGAAATATTTTAAAAGTAATTTATTTTAAGTGCTCGATTGCAATTTTAATTTCAAATGATCAGAAAATAAGTTTCTATTTCTTTGTAATCTTTTATAGTTTTTAGCAGATATTTAAAATTAAATTCAGAAATTTAGAGAAAATGAATTCGAATTCAAAATTTTTGATAGTATAAATAATTTATAATTCTTTTAAATTAATGTTTTGATCACAATTTTTCTTTCTCGTGTTTTTTCTTCTTTTTTATAAGGAAAGGAAATAATTCAGTTTGTGTGGTTTTTACGTACGTTGGCGTTGCAGCTTTGATGTTCTCAGTGAGAATGTAGTAGATGCGTTGGTACTGCGAAAAAGGGCCGCAGTGCCACGACGGCTCAAGCCACACAATAGCAAAGCTCACGGGCAGCACGCAAAGGAACAGCATTGTCAGGAGCAACGCCAGGTAGAAATTGTTGGACCTGGATGCCCTGAAGAGCACCTCGTGGGGGACGTTGCAGGTCAAGACGGCCCACGAGCGAAGGTAAAATATCATCACAAGCTTCACCAGGTTCAGGGCCGGCAAACCGGGCGAGAAAAACATCCCCATCCTGATTTGAATAATTGATTAAAAGTAGTTTTTATATTTATCCTCAACTAAAAAATTAAAAGAAATGTTTAAATAAATATTTATTTTATTTCTATATTCATAAAATTTGTGTTTTTTCCTTTCCTTGTCTTTAAAGCAAAATAATAAACTTAAATCAATCTTTCTAAAAATTGATTAAACCTGATGAATTTCAAATTGGTGAATTTAATCTCTAAACTAATAAAAAATTTCAAACAGTATTTTAGCATTTTTAATATTGTTCATTAATAAATGCTTTTTGATTTTAATTGGTATCTGACGTGGCTCCTTATTATTCAAAATGAACATTATAAAAAAGACTAAAATATAAATTATTTGGAAGCAAAAACTTATGATTCGGGCCAGAGAAGTGCGCGAGCGAGCAACCAGATGGACATAGTAGTAGCGCCGGTTGCATAACCTTCCTGTTTGACTGTTGCCTTGCATCAAAAGGGCAACGCAGCCTCTATAGAATTATTTACATTTCCTTTGATGTCGTAATAACAATTATTTTCCTTAATTACTTTATCCAATTTGTGTTTGTGCCCCAATTATTTTATGCTCGCGCTTTAATTTAACGATTATTCTTCGAGAAGAAGAAGTGCTATTAAAAATAAAGGCAGACAGACACTCACCAAACCATTCCTTGGTTGTGCACCAGCTGTAGTATGTTTTCTGCAATTTTGAAGTCACCGTACTGCGGAAATTGCTTTTCCAAGTCCCAACACCAGCAGCTGTTCATGAAGCGGACGAAGATTGCGCGGAAGAAGTCGATCAGAAGAACGGTGACCACAGTCATTACCTTTATTAAACATTAAAGTTTTAATTTTTTTTAAATCATTTGGGCTTTTTAGTGAAAGAAAGATTGTGGAAAAATCATTATCATAATAACTTTGATTTCTTTAAATTGTGAAATAGCTTTCGAAGTATCAAAATCTGAATATTTCTGAATATTTATCATTATTTGATAAATAAGCTTAGTTTTTTTAATACAATTTATGAAATTTCTTATAAGCGTTCCGTACAATTGCATCTAATTTTCTTTCATAATATAATTTAATAATTATAAATAAAAATAAAGTCCAAAATTACGCTTAATTTGTGTCAAGAAAAGTGTTAAATCAAATCAACCGAAGTTTTTTCATGCATCAAACGAAAAGTAGATCAAACTTTTAGACGGAATGAAAGCTGGAAGAAAAATTCGTTTCAAATCCAATTTACACTTTATGCGGGCTTTGCAAAGTTTTGTGCATTTCATTAAAAGTTGCACGGATCGATCGTTTCGCGAGCAAATTATTATCGGCGGCGCCCGCGGGTAAACAGCAAATTATTATTGCGTTACAGGAAGATGATTTTCGTCTGCGAGCGAGCGTCTAATTCGATAATATTGCGCGCTCTCGCATAATGGATTAAAGCAGGAGGCACGTGCGCTGTAATATCTCGAGGGGTGTGCGTCGGGCAAGCACTAATTAGGCAACACACGCGAGCATCTATAATTACGGTTTGACGTGTTAATTATTATCGGACGCTACTTGCCAAGTCCATCACTGTCAGCTTGACCAGCTCCTGGCCAAACATGGTCTCCCAGCAGAGGCGCCGCAAATTCCGACGGTCGGCCAGACGAGAAGTGTCGCTCCCGGGCGAGAGCGTGGAAAAATCTGACAGTTAAAAATTCAAGTGTGAGAAAGATTGAATTAAAACTCCACAACAAGTAAAATTATTTGACGAAAACAACGGATTTCACAGAGATAAATTGATGCTTTAAGATTATTTTATATAGTTAAATTATTTATTTTTAAATTTCATTTTCATTTTTACTATTGATTGTCAAGCACTAGGGCTGAGCGTTTTAGTCCATTTATAAGGTCAAAATAGACGACTTTTATTGTCGATTTTTGGCCAAATTCAGTTGACTCTAGTCGATTTTCGAGCAAAAATAGCCTGATTTAGTTGATTTTTATTTAATTTAAGAATTAAGGAAAGGAGGAATTTTTTTTCAAAACATTTTGCTTGAAATGATCCAAATGGTCTGTCCGAAATTTTTAGATGATTGCCAAAAACCATTTTTTTTATGTCTTGGAGCTCAAATTTCTGGAAAAAAATTTAGACTTTTCAGCTATTTTAGTCGGTTTTACTCTGTTTTTAGTTGAAATAGTCGATTTTTGTCAATTTAGTCGATTTTGCCCCTAGCTCAATCAACTCGAAATTGCATGATTCATGCTCATTTCATAACCCTAACATCCTGCGAAGATCAGAAAAAAATAGTTGATCGACTAAAACGCTCAGCCCTATCAATCACCAACAACCTTGTAATTTTAATATTGACTGAAACTGAAGCCCATAAAATTGTTATCATTTTAGAGATCCTGAAAAGCAGATGAAAACTTGAAAAGTTGGCAAAATGAAATTTTTAATTTCAATTGTATATAAGTTGAAGTTACGTAAATATTTTTTCGATTTTTTCAATTAAAATGATAAGAGCAGTAAAAATATCTAATATCAATTAAATTTTTGCTTCATTTGTTTAATTTTATAGAGCTAACATGAAAACTCAATTCACAATCTAAATTTGTCACATTCTTACCAGCAAATTAAAATGAACCAATTTAACGAAACTTAAGGTTAATCAATATTTTATTTTTTAAATAAATAGGAAATAGGAAAAATAGAAATATGAACATTTATTCACACTTTTTAATTTCTTTTCTGTGTTAAGAAGTAAAAAATGGAAGTGAAATTCGATAGTTCTATTTGAATTAAATTTTGTATTATCTGCACTGCTGCAAACCCTTGTTCTTAATTCAAAGGAACACTTGCAGTTAAGATGAGAGGTTGAAAGATCACAAGCTCAATTACCCTCGCATTCAAAATCGCTATCAGTGGTGGGCATCGTTGAAGACGTTCCATGCTCGTTTGGCTCGAGCTCGGTTTCACTTTCCAGCTGGGGCTCGAGAGTGTCGGGAAAGTCTTCTGGCTCGGTGGTTGTTTCTGCCTCTTGGAACGGACAAATCCACTCGTAGCAGTAATTTTCCTCGTTGCCGCCATCAGAGAAACTAGAGCTCTCGAAAGTGGTCCATGTTGACGACTCGTCGTCCTGGAACAGCATAAAAGCGAGCACACAATTACTTTGTAATGACGAGACCATAAACTTAATTAGCAGCGAATAACAACAAGAATAGTTTCAGAGTTTTATGTTTATAATTTTGAAACTCGTTCTGTTTGAATTTAAAATAATAATCTATTGTAAGAAAAACAAATTAAATTTCATTTGACGACGTAAATTAATTAAATCTAAGAAAACTGAAAAACTAATTAGAATAATTTGGAAATTTAATAATTATTTTATTTTTGGTACAGGTCAAATAATTAATTCAAATTATTTTACCAGTGTTGTTGACCAAGACACAGTGCTCGTCTCCTCCAGTTCATCGTAGTTTTCTGCCGTCATTTCCTGAGCGGGGGTTGTGGCTTTAATTGACTTGTACGTGGTCAGCGCCTTCATGTAGCTCGTCAAAACGCCGGTCAAAAATGATTCCACGTCGACCTTACTCACCGATGGAGGCGTCGTCGACGTCGTCCTCACTATAGTGACATTTGATGTGTTCTGTTGGCCTCCGTTTTCGTACTCATTTACTGTCGAGTTGTGATAATCGGTGTAATAGTCACCCTCATCGTCAGGCCTTCAATGAAGAAAGACAAATTTTTTATTTAAACTATTTACTTTAAAAATTAATATAATATATTTTTAATTAAGATACATGAAAACAAAATATTTCAATTTTATTTAATTTTTTATAAATAAGAACTAAATTTATTTATAATGATTTTTATTTATTAAATTTTTTTAGTAAAAAGTATTTTCACTTTAAGCACAAGAGAATATTAAAATATATTTTTATAAGTGATTATTATAAATAAAATTTATATTGAACATGATTCTAAGTAATATTGCAATTTAACTGATGCATGCCTATAATCCATTGATTTGCAATTTGATGTACAATTATGATTTTATTATAGATCACAGAATGTTCTCAAAAATAAATATCCCAATTTTAAGAAATTTAATGAGAAGTTAATCAGTTAATTTCAAATTACAGCCTATTAATAAGTTTAGTGCTTTTTTTATATAAATTAAACGCCGTCGGCGAGCAACAACTTATTATTATAATAAATTATATTTTATCCATTATTTGATACATTATTGATAAATATAGAAGCATTTTTTTAAACCAACAATACTTGGAAAAAATGAAGAAGTAAATAAAAAATAAATAAAAATTTATAAATTCTACTCCCTCGTTTATTAATATTTGGCATTGACACAAAAAATTTTGACCCATTTTTTTCCTAAAATCCACCTTATGTGATAACTTACTTTCTTTTTTTATTTTCAATTATGATAATATATTTTTCTTCTTCATATTTTATAGTTTTTTATATTGCTATTTTAATCTGTTTTAATCAAGGACCGTTCCTACTGAGCGTTTGTGTATAGTGTGAGGATTTTTCATTAAAATTTCAGAGAGTTTTATAGTTTAATCTGCATAGCAAACGCAGCGAAACTTTGGAGTGGAATGAAGAGAGTAACAAAGCTTCGCCCCAATTAATGCAAAGCCGGCGTTGTGGGCATCAACGAGCATTACCCCTTGGCGAAGGTTTGCGGCCAAGTGGAGTTGTAATTGTTGCCGGCGTCGTCGTCGTCGGTGGTGGCGTTGGTCTGACGCTGCTGGTCCTCATCCTCGCCACCCTCTTGTGCGGTCGTCACGCGCAACGAGTCGGGCAGGGTGAACTCGAGAAACGCTGCTGTTGTGGTTTGCGCGTCGCCACCCCTTGAGGAGGAGGTCGGCCGAGTGGTGCTCGTTGGCATTTCGCCACTCGTCGCGCTCGTACACGCCACCAGCACCTGCAACATTTTGATTGTCGAGATAATCCACGATTCCGTGTAGACATTATTCAAGTTAATTTGAACTAGTTTATTAATAAGTGAAAATAGTAATTTACAAAACGGAGTGAAAAAAGTGAAAAAGAAGTTATTAATCCAAACTGTGTAAATTTCAAATTTTAAATTTAGACTGTAATTGCCTTCTGATATACAACCAACAACACACTTAACTAAAATTTTAATCAAATAAACCTGATGTTAAAAATCTATCAATTTTATTTTTTGTAAAGCTCTTTAATTTTGTTTGAAGAAGATGACACTCAAGGAGATGATCATGAAAATGAAGAGATTGGGCTTTTCCTCGTTGCAGAAAAATTGTTTTTTATTTTCAAAAAACACAAATGGCTCTACCAGTTTTGGTCACGGTCTGCGACCCTATTTCATGAGCAAGAAAAATACTCTTTAATTTGGAAATTTTTAACTTTATTTAATTTTTTTTTTTATATAAAGAGTTTCAAATTTTTCTAACTAAACTTTGCGTTGGTGGATATTTCAGGAGAAAAATTTGAACAGGCTATTTTTATTTGAAAATTTTAAAATTTTAATGCCAACAGTTATAGCAAGAATAATTTCAGAAGACGAAAATCTGTCAATTAATTTCGAATCTATTCGTTCTTTTCATCAATTTGCACAAAGAAATAAAGAATAATAATTGAGGGTGATCTAAAACCAAAATGAGAGAGGTAAGATAGATTTGATCTTTGATCGCCCTCATTATTGTACTATTTCTTGATATTTTTTTCTTGTTTTTCCTTTTAATATGTAATACAGATTTTTATAGAAATGAAGAAAATCGGGCTTGTCCTCATTTTTCTTCATAATTACCATGATCATGGTCAACTTCTTCAAAGAAATGCATATTTTTATTGAAGTATTTTTGTGTTTTAACTTCATGTCTTTTCATAATTTGCTTTTTTATAATTATTTATCGTCCTATAAAGAGTTACTTGTTTTCAAGGTCGCAATTTCACTAATTGCATATTTCGCATGAGAGTTTCGGTAATTTGCTCACTAGAGCTGGTTGCTAATTCTTTGTGAATTTATTATTACAATGTCATATTATTTCTTATATTTAATTTGTGCATTAATTAAAATTACCTACAGAGATTTGGCAAGCATATTTCCTGTTAAGATACATTAAACCTAGCAAGAGAACTATTATATTTACAACCTAAAATAACTTTTTATTGTTGAATGCAAAAATTAGAAGGATTTGCAATATTTACTAATAAATGAAATAATAAAATTATAAATTTAAATAAAATGATTTAAATTCAACAAAAAAAATTAAAAATTTGCACAAAATAAGTTAAAAATTTGGACAAATAAACAACAATAACATTAATAATAATTAATTTAACATTTAACTGATGTACAAAAATAAATTTAAAAGTATTTCTTTTTTTAAACTGACCTTTACAAGATCAACTGGGCAAAACGACAAAAGAGTTGTCACGTTCGCTGCAGCGAAGATTAAAGTTGAGCTATCAGATTCGGACATCATTGGCACCATAGTCGGTGTTAGCGTGAAAGGACTGGTCGTCGTCATCGCCATTGAAAAAGTCGCCAGAGAGTCATTTTTCTTCAAACTCTGCAGTTCGTCGGTCTGATTTTGGAAAAGGAAACAATTTAAATTAAGAAAATTGGAGCGACAAAATCGCTGACCATTTTGCTGATTTTGCCGAAGAGGGCGAGAATGAGCGAGTAGAGGTTCATCAAGTTGAGCACCATGATCCTGAAAAGGAGGGCGTGAGCGCATTAATTCGGGCACGATCGAGGGGCCCATTTATCACCTTGCTAATTGCAAGCGGAGCTGTTTGCGCGGGTGATAATTCTCGAGGAGGCCGAGCAGCTCGAAGAGCGTGGGAAAAGTGTAGGTGATTAAGGAGAGAACGACCGACACCTCGTTCTGGCGCCACCACGAATCAATCTCGTGCGCCTCCTCGGACCGCTTGACCATTTCGACGACCGCGTAGGCAGACCCGCCGAGCAGCAGCAGCACGAAAATGTTCACCATGACGCGGATCGCGATCAGTTTCCAGCTGCAATTAAACGGGCAAAGCTTTTGTTAAAAAAAAATGTGCAAAAACTAGGTGGAGGGTTTTTCTTTCATTAAACTTTTGTAATTAAGATGGTTACTTTCTCGAGTCCTTGACTTTTTCCCTCTCTTCGAGCAGGGCTTCTTTGAAACCGAGAACAATGGAAGCCGTTCTGTTGTGCGCAGTTTCCTTGTTGCCGATCATGTAGTCCCAGCCGGTGAATAATTTCCAAGTGAAAACGCACTCGTCCGCCTTTTCCGAGAGTTTGCTCATGCGAGAGTTCTTGGCCATTCTACGAACACCAGGCAGGAATAAAGTAAAAAAGAAACTTCATTCTTTGGAAACATTTTCTTTAAAACATATTTTAAAGTGATTTACAATTTGAAAGTTAATTTAAATACATATTTTTAATTCATCAGATCATTGAAAAAAAAGGTATTTTTCATCTAATATTTAAATTTTTTACATCAAAAGTGTTTTCTAAATAATCTATTCTTTAAAAATTAAAATATATGTTTTTTATTTTTGACAACAACTATTTTATGATATTCAAAGAAAAGAAGCGGAAAAGTCAAGTGTACTTTTGTTCAAATATATCATTAATTAAAAAAATTTTAATCCTCCAGATTCATTCCCGTGAAACAAGGATGGACAAAATCGCAAAAGCGATCTGCGATCCGCGACTGCGATCGCACCATTTTTTTAAAAGATGATCGCGATCGCAATCGCAAAAGGTGGTTGATCGCAAGCGATCGTTTGCGATCGAGGAAAGCAATTTTTATGCTTAATCTGGGCGAATTTAATGTTAAATCTGGAAGAAAAAATGTCAATTTCAGGTAATTTGACAGACGAATTTCTTAAACTAAGGCTTTCCATTTATGGAGTTCATTTTTGTTCGGACTCCTTGTTCAGAAATCACAATTGATAAAAAACCGTTCGGAAATGTATTTTAAAAAAAAAAATATTTGATCGCAAATGATCGCAACGTTTTTGATCGCGATCGCACGATTTTTCAATTTCATGATCGCGATCGCAATCGCACAATTTTTAATTTTCAAGATCGCGATCGCAATCGCAAAAATTTGAGATCGCGTCCATCCTTGCCGTGAAATATTCTTCAGAGCTACATCAAATTTTCTGAATAAGGGAAAAATTTGCAAATAATATTCTTTGTCAGAGTCAATTTAGATTGACGGAAAATTTAATCGAACATTTTCAAAATTATTTCTAAAATTTGCAAAAAATTTATGTGAAGTTTTAATGCAGACGAAATTTGAAGATTTTATATGTAATCAATAATCACCATTTTTTCCCAAAATGATTTAAAAGGAAAAAAAACTAATGTCGGCTCAAATCAAAAGCTGTAAATTGAGTTTGCTCTTAAATAACGTGTAATTGGTACAAAACCTTTCAACTTGATCACAAAATACTTTTTTCCGAGAAAACTCAATTCAACTTCTGCAATAACAAAAAGAATATCGAGTCCGTAAAACTGCTTTTCAGCAGGAATGGAGAAATTTTGCGGGCGAACGCGCAGGTGATAAAATTTTATCAAGAGTTTTGCTCACCTCCGAAGTGTGGCGACGAAGCTATAAACGTAAACGGCCAGGCTGGTCATGAAGTAGGCAAACGGCAGTCTGTAGCCGCTCGGTTGCTTCACCCGGTTCGAGTAAAAGCCGTAAAACATGGGCGAGTAACGCAAAACCCCTTCAAAGTCCCACAGAACGGCGATGTCGGTCGCGTTGCCTTTTTCCTCCGGCAGCATCGCCTTACGATCGTCCAACGCGTCTCGCTTGTCCGCCGCCAGAACCTACATTTTCCTCCTTTTTTTAGGGAAAACTGCTCGAATATGGGGAAAAAAAGTGCTCACCTCGGGCACCGCCACAAAAGTGGTGAGCAGAATGGTGATCATCAGATTAACCCAGAAAAGCCATCGCAGGAAAGTGAAGTAGGAAGCGACGGCCGAGCCAAAGTGAGACTCGATTTCTTTGATTCGCGACTCCCACGGCACCAAGTAGTTCAGCAAGTTTGCAAGCTCCCGCTTTAGATGTTGCCAAAACTAATCAAATAAATATTTTTGTAGTAGAATTTCACAATCAAGGGTAAGAAAAACCATAAACATCTCACAAAAACCACTGAGGGAAATCCTACTTTAAATTTAAATTAACTAAAATATAATTTGGCTTAAATTTATATTATTATATTTTTTAGATATAAATTGTATATTTTATGAATTATTTTTAATGTTATATACAGTTTTGTTTTAATAATATTTTTAATAAGATCGTTGTGAATGATGGTGTTAGAAAAAAATTTAGTTTTTGTAATATTTAAGTTTTTTTTTGTATAATTTTAACTAACACTAGGAGAAGGGATATGAATTTAACAATAGTTAATAGTCTTGAATTGGTTGTTATGCATGATTTACGTAATAATCCCTGATACCCTGATAATATAGAATTTTGAACTTTATTATACATACATTAAAGTTAGCTATATTACATATTTAAAATGAAAATGAAATGTCTCTATTAAATTAATTAATTGTATAAAAATATTTTTTTTTTTATAGTTTCCTACTTTGAGAAGGAGGAGTTGCGCCCTGGCTGCCAAATCCCTGGTGTTCCTCGAGTGGGCCAGTCGCTCCTGCAAAGCACCTTCGTGCCGCCGAATGTAACCCTTTGCCTGTCGCACGAGCTTCATCTTTCGCCGCATCGGCCACGGCTGGTGTCGAGCGCTTTGCAGAACTTCCTTGTGCAAACGAAGCCGCTCGAAAATTTGCTCTTGGTTCGCGCCGCTTCCATCTTCGCCACTCACACCCGTCCTTAAAAAAATTTGCAAAAAAATCGATACAAAATATTTAAGATGAAAAGTAATATGAAAATTGTATTTCCTAATCCAAAATTATGTATAATTTTTGTGGGTACGATTCAAGCTAAATTTAAAATAAACTTGAAGTAAAAACACGAGGAACTTAATACAAAGATTTTTCATTAAATCAGATTAAATCCTCAAATTAAGTCATAAAATGTAGGTCACATGCATCATTCAAATGTATTTAACATTTCATAATTAATATCATGATTTGTTGTTGATGTTAATTCAGTTTAAAAATAAATTTTCTAGCTTTAAATTTTTGCCCACGATTGCGAGAGAGTTTTTATTAAATTTAGTGAACTTCAATGATACGATATTTGACATTGTGAATAATTCAAAGTAATCTTTTTGGTTTTCAAACTACAGTCAGCAAAAAATATATAATTTCTTTCTGGCTTATAAACTAAAAAAAGTAACAAACTCGTGTTGTTCCTCTTTCATTATCGTGTGAATTAAGAGATTATTTCCTGACCACAGAATTTTCTCTCATTCGTAACATTTATTGAGAGCAATAAGATACATTAAGATACATTATAATATACTGAAGCCAACACCAAGTGAAAGTGCTCTATTATATTTGTAAGAATGCATATGTACAAAATATTCAATCTGACTTTGTATTGTTAGTATAAATTATGATATTTACTAATTTTTTTGCAGTGTATAAATTTTATGTTAATAAGATTTAAATAAAAAAATATTAAATAAATTATATTTATATTTACAAAAAAATAATAAATAAAATATAAAAATAATAATATGTTTAGTCGAGTTAAGTAATAACATTAAATACTTTAATTATTACATTTTTATTTTATTTTATAAGATATAAATAAATTGACTATCCATTGAATTTCTGACAATATCTATAATTGCAATGAATATACCCAAAGAAGATAACGGTTTTATTAATTCCGGTTGTCAAAATAAAAAGAGTGATTTAGCCCATTGAATCAGATATTTTAATTCAATATAAAAATAAATAGCTTATACTTTTTTGGTTGAGCTGAGAAATAACTACCAGTTTAATTTAAAAAGCAATTTTTGTAGTTTCTTCCCCTTAACATTTAAATAACAGGCAAGTTAACCCTTTCATCCCTGTTGTTTGCTTCTCTCACTAGGAGTGATCCGAATGTAAAATGACCTCACAATTACGTTCGCCGAATCAACAAGAAGCGAAAACTCACTCGACCGAGCTGGTGGTGAAAACGGAGGAGCGTCGGCGCGACTGGCCGCTGTCGGCGTCGGCCGCCGCGAAGGGCGACGACGTCCTGCGGCTTTTCCGTTTGCTCGGCCGCCGCGACGAGTTTCGTCGCTGGATGATCGCGTTCATGCTGGCCGAGTAATCGTCGTCCTCCTCGACGCCCTCCTCGCCCGCATCGTCCTCTGCGGAGTAAAAAATGCTCAAGAGCCCCAATTAGTCTTTATACGCACCGTGGCGCTCTTTGTCAAAGTGCACCCTCTCGGAGGTCATGTCGTACGGGCTGAGGCCTCGCAACCCTTTGATCGAGGTGTCGGACCGGTCGCTGCGCTGCTCGCACGAGTCATCAACGCCGCCAACTGCAAAAGACACCGACAGTCGGTCCACCGACGGCTGCGGTGACGAAGGCCCAACCTGCACATTCCGTGCAAGAAAAATTGTGAAACAATTAATATTTTTGGATTATTAATGAATTATTCAATGAGAAAACGCTGAAATGCTCAATTTTATTAATAATGGTCATGTAATATATTTGGCTTTCAATTGAAAAATGACAAGCCCGATAAGGGTTGAGAAAAGTAAGATTAGTAATCTTTGCATTAAATAATTTGTAATAAAAACAGGCTTAATTATATATAAATTATTTAAAATTTTATTTTCCATTTTTACGGGCTTAGAGCATTTGTCATTACATATTTTTTTTTTCTTGCAAATGATAATGGTTTTCTCAATTAAAAAATAAAATAAATAAAAATAATATTATATTTTTTTTTTATTAAAAACATATTATGTAAAAATTCTTGTATGTACATATATAAAACATTAAAATGTTAAATAACACAATTAAAATTTTGTAATATTAAACACCTCTCTTAGAAGTAACTTTTTTAATTCTTGTGTTTGTCATAAAAATAACCGCAGGTATATGAACACATTGTATTTAATAATTTAAAAATGAGAACTGGACATGTGCGCAATGTAAAGCGCGACATGTTTTCCTCAATTTGCCTGTCACAGAGTTTTCATGGTTTGTATCTTATATAATAATTATTTTCTTAACAATTTATTTTAACGATTTGTACTTCTTTGCAATTCAACAATGAGACCATTCCAGCTTCCCAATATTCTCAATTAAGCAGACAAAATTTCTTCCAGCTACAAAACCAATAATAAAAAATTCGTTTCGATTTTCCACTCGTATAATTGAATCACTTGGATTTGGCTATAAAATTTGAAAATTACTACGAAATTTAAAATTTTCAGACTCTTTCTATCTTGCGTCTTACAATTAGCAAAAAGGTTACTAGAGGTGTTAGCGATTTCTTAAAAAAATTCCTTTCTTGTAAAGAAATTTTCATCAAAAATAAAATTGATCATAAACAATTTGAACATATAATAAAACACTTAACAATTTTTTTAAGTAATTGTAGGCTATAATTTGCAATTATAAATGCCATCCTTTATAATTATTGTATCACAAAACTCAGTCAGTTTTCTCGGTTTCAAATAAATATTGTATTATTTGTCATACGAGGAGGAAACAAGAAGAATTAAACAAATGTAACACGGGAAAACTGCGGCAGAGATATAGACAGTCCGCAGAGCAGAAATTTTAATTTGTTCGGAGCGAGCGAGCAAGTTTGCCGTGAGCTCATAAACACGAGAAGGGAATATAGAGGTGCGGTGGTTTCGTTTCGTCGTTTTATTAAGGCGGCGCACACGCTACAGAAACGCTATAGATAATGAAATGAGCGGCCGCGCTATGTATGTATGCAGCCTGGTGGCGCACAAACGTCACGCAGGTTGCATAGCACAAAGAAGAAGAAGGTTATGCTGGAGGAAGACGAGATTAATTTCATCAGCTTTGCACAAATGAATGCAGCCACTTCTTATCTTGCAATTAGAGCGCGTCTTGCATAAAAGCAAAGTTTGCTTCAGGGCGCAGATTTTCTCAACGAGAGTTGTTCCAACTTTGCTTTCCAAGCGTGCATTTCCCTTTGATATGCTTGGTACTTGACGAGAGGTGGCTTTTAATCAAGGTTTACTTAATGGTTTCCAATACATATTATGCATATCAAAAGAAATTTCAAGTTGTTCATTAAAAAATAATCTAATAAAAAGAATATACATATATTTTTTTATAAAAAAAATTTTTTACATTAATATCTTTTAAAATTTGAATTAATTTTAACTTTATTATTTGATATTTTTAAAATTTTTTAACTATAAAACTATTTGTATTTTGGTTTAGATATTTATATTTAAACTGATTTTATTTTTTTAAATAAATTATTACAAATAAAAAATTAATTTTTTTACTTTATTGCTAGTATTATGAAATCCAGAAAACCAGAGTTTCACAATGATTGGAAAATTTCAGGGTTAGTTTGATATTACCTTTTTCAATTTGAAATTAAGCAGCTTACATTAATTAAGACATATTCAAATATCATTAAATTAAATTGAGTTTTTCAATTGAAACAAACACAAAAACTTGAAAGATGTAAATACGAGTTTTTGCTTTTTCTGTGGTTCAATTAATCGGGACAAAGTGGATTGAAAGAGAATTATAAAGCGCAGTGGCTTTTGCTGTTGCTGGACGCTGACAAATAATTAGCTGCGAGCGGCGCTGCGTAATGGAATTAAAATTTCATCAGAGCTGCATGGAAAAGTGATTTATGGTCTCGCAAGCGCACGCCAACCAGGAGAACTACCCGAATTCGCAATCAGTTATGCTACATGAGCACAAGACCGACAAACAACGTGATTTGCAGATTAATCAGCGTGTGCTCGCGGACGACACAACTCGCTTTTGCTTTCGAAAATAATTAATCACCCTTGTAAGCTCGAGCACCAAAATATTCAAAAGCTGGCAAAACATCAAACGAGTCGAAAGAAACCTAATCAAAAACGTATAAATTGAAAACAAATTCTTTTGCAAAGGAAAATACTTTAAAAGTTGTTTTCAATTTTTGTAATTTGTTATTAACTACAATCTGGTGCCAATGACAATGGATCTTTGTGAAATGTGATTGATCTAAAAAATAAAAAATTTGAAAGTAAAAAATTTAATTTAAACTAAAATCTAAAATCGACTATTTGGAATTTCTTTTTAAACACCTGGATTTTGTTACTTGAATGGAAGAGAATAAGCCAATATATAAGAAAAATATAATTAAATCAATGAAAAAATTAAATAAATAATTAAATTTCAATAATTCACAAATTTAACTTCCGCACAAACTTAAGATACAATGCATATTTTGTTTTAATTTTTAAATTTTGTAAATTTTAATATGTAACCATTAATCTATTTCAAAACAGTCAAAACTTCATGTAAATATGCTTATTAAATCGACTTTGGAATTTCAACATCTTGAATATGTATATTTTCATACAATTTATAATGCGAAATAAACCATCATTTTATTTCATTGATTTCACGACTTTTTTCATTAGTCTAGAAATGAATAATTTTTATCAGAAATTGCCTAAAAATTAAAAATTTTATTCAGAATTTATTCTTTTTTTAATTTTTTTTCAACAAATTGCTAATTTTTAATCTTTTCTTGAAAGAAAAATGTGTCAATTATGCGCAGAAAAAAACATTTTCCTAAAAAAAATTGGAAACTATGTAAATCAATTAATATCTTATAAGTTTTAGTACAGATTTAGATCAATTTTTTTTCTTACAATATAGAAAAAAAGAACAAAATTTTAGCTTCCTTTCAAGGGGAGAAAGAAATACCTACAAATATTTGCTCGCAATCTTGATACTGGGCCTGTCACTTGTGGCTTTTTCCCCCTTCTGGACTCACCCCTGGCGACGGGTCAGCACTCTGTGTTAGCTCGGTGACCCCAACAGGTCCATTTAGCAAGTGGTGTGCGATTAGAAGGAGCTGCGGGACCGATGTGTGGTCACCGCCGAGCAATTGGAAAAACACACACAAAAGCCAGCCGGAGCGCGAGGAGGGGTCGCGCCTTTCAAGAAAGAATGGAAAAGAAAGAAAGGACGCGGGCGGGCAGCACCACACCCTGCGTGTTACTTTCCAATCTCCGGAATGGCGTGCGTTGGCGGCGCCGAGGAGGAGGAGGAAAAAATGGCCAAAGTGCACATACACGGAGGCCGGATATTAGCCGCAATTTCGGCCGCGCGCTTCTCTAATTTGGAAAGTCGGAAAAGGCCATTAAGGCGCGCCAGCATAAATCCTGCTCGTGCATCGCATTTCTTGACACACTTAATTCTTCCCGCGTTGTTGCACCACAGCAGCCAACTACGATCAACAGTTTTTGCTAATTTTGACTCGGACAGTTTCCTAATTCAATCTGAAATCTAATTTGTAATGTCAGGAATGTGGCTATTTTTTTTTACTATAGAAAATAAATGTTATAAAATAGTTCACCTATCACGAACATAGAAGAGGAGTCAATTTTGATTGGTAACTCATTTTACAAATTGGTATAATTTATTTATTTTTTGGTTAAAAAATTATCTTATATCTCATAAATTTAATTCATTCTGGCGGAATCTAATGCAGTTGTTTTCAATTTATATAAATTTAATTAAAATTATATAATAATTTAAAAATTAATATTTTAAATTAATTTTAAACAACAGAAATAACAAATTATTCTTTATTATAAATGTTATAAGAATGGTTAAATTAATTTGTAATCTTTTTTACATGACGTAATTAAGATGTTGTGTTTTTATTGTATCTGAATGCAGAATAAATGAATAAATAATTTTTTTGTTAGTTTCTACTAAACGTTGCTCTGCCTGTTCTGATTGTGATTTTTTATTACGATAAAATAGTATTATTATTTTGACATATTGTTTCTAATTTAAACATTTTTCCAATCAAAACATGCATGTGAGAAAACTGAAAAAGTTATCATTATTCAGAATCCTTAATTAATCGTTTGCTGATTTTAATTGCGACGGATATAATTGACAAATCACGGCCGCACCCACCTGTAGGTCTCGGAACTCGACCGACGAGCCGGAACTCCTTCGCGGCTTGTTGATGTCCAGCCTGAGGATGCCCAGGTTGGAGCCCCTGCGGTCGGGGCTTTTGCTGCCGAGGGCCGCCACCCCCATCGACGGGCTCCGGCTGCGTCCCCCGGCGACGTGCCTGCTCTCGTCGTCACCCATCGCGCCCAAATGAGCGAGTTCTGCTTAATTGCGTGTTTATATGTATATATTGTGGCTAAAAACAACCCCACCCTCGCGCCCCTGCCTCCAATTAAGCCCGGCTAATTTGCTTAATTTTTCTGATGCTTCCGCAAACCACGCCTTCCTTGTTTACGAGAGACAGCGAAAGTTCCTTTGTTTTGTGTAATTAACCCTTTAAATAAAAATTCCTCGCCGTTAATGGAACAATTTATTTTTTTGTTCATGCTCAATTTTTATAATTAATTTTTTTCTTTTCACTTTAATTATCGCAACAAGCAAAAGTTGTTTCCATGGGAACGACCGTTGTTTTAACAGACCTGCGAATTTCCGATTGTTGGTTTTTTAATTCAGAAGCGACGGTTGCGTTTTGAATTCATTTGCATTCCGACCACCGAACTCTTCACACCAGTTTGCAAAATGGGAAGGATGTCGTCCTGCAAGCCGAGACGCACGCAGAAGAGGAAACCCACTGGCTACAACATGTACGTGCACTCGAAGTTCGGCTGCATCATGAAGCCAGGGATGACTTCCCGTGGCGTCTTCTCTGAGCTGGCCAAGCAGTGGAAGGTGCTTCCTCAGGAGGAGAAGTGCAAGTTCAGGCAACTGGCGAAGAAGAAAAACAAGAAGCGCCACTAAAGTCCTCCAGGATGAAGTGGCCGTTCATCATTAGTGTTATTAATTAAATCGTTAATTTGATTCATGGAATTGACTACGTTTTCTTTTTAAACTAAGATCAATTTTTTTAAGATAATTCCAAGAATTCTTAGATCAGATTGATTTTATCGGTATGTTTGGTTGCTTAATAATAATTCTTGGTACTTTTTCTTCTATATCTATTCATTTAGATATGAATTAATTATTTAAATCATTCAGAAATGAGCTTGATATTCTCGTGTTGTTTTTAACGGTCATAACTATATTGAATTTAAAAATTCAAAGAATTCTTCAAGTTCGCAGCAGTTTTATATATATTTTGATAAAATTTGATTTTTTGCTCAAGAACTCTCTATAAATCGCTATTTATTTCTTATTTCTTTGCAGAATTACAAAAACAGTTTAAAATTCATCGGATCCTGCAACGGTTTTTGACAACAATCTACAAATAAAATAATGATATCGGTCCTTTTGACCGAAAATTTTGATTGTTGGTTTTGAATTCAGAAGCGACGGTTGCGATTTGAATTCATTGGCATTCTGACCATCATGGAGCTCTTCACACTTTTGCGCAAAATGAGTAAGTGCGTGCCCTGCAAGCCGCACCGTAGGCACAAGAGGAAACTCAGTGGGTACAGCGTATACGTGCAGATGGCTTACGACTATGTGAAGATCAAGAAGCCTGGGATGACTTCCCGTGGCGTCTTCTCTGAGCTGGCCAAGCAGTGGAAGGCGCTTCCTCTGGAGCAGAAGTGCAGGTTCAGGGAACTGGCGAAGGAGAAAAACAAGAATCGCCACTAAGGTCCTCCAGGATGAAGTGGCCGTTCATCATTAGTGTTATTAATTAAATCGTTAATTTGATTCATGGAATTGACTAAGATTAATTTTTTTAGATGATTCAGTTTGATTTTGTCGGTATGTTTGGTTGCTTAACAATTCTTCTTGGTACTTTTTTCTTCCATATGAATTAATTATTTCCTGCATTATCTGCTTATAATCATCAATTTATTTGGTTATTGTATAATTTGTATATGATTAAATCAATCAGAAATTAGATTGATATTCTCGTGTTGTTTTTAACTGTATTGAATTTAAAAATTCAAAGAATTCTTCAAGTTCGCAGCAGTTTTATATATATTTTGAAAAATACGATTTTTTGCTCAAGAATTCTCTATAAAATCGCAATTCCTTGCAGAATTACAAAAACAGTTTAAATTTCATCGGATCCTGCAACGGTTTTTTGACAACAATCTACAAATAAAATAATGATATCGGTCATTTTGACCTAAAATTTTGATTGTTGGTTTGAATTCCTGCTCAAGAATTTTTCACGTAGAAAAACGAAGGAGAATTTTTTGAAAATGTCAAGTTCATCATAATGTTATTGCTTTATGGAATTTATTTCGTTATCTTTTTAAAATTTAATTTTTTTTTTAAGAATTCAAAGAATTCTTAGATCAGTTTGATTTTGCTGAAATCTGAATGAAATGTTTGGCTACTTTATAATTCTTCTAGGCACTGTATTTCTCTTATATGAGTGTGGAGAAATGTTAAATTTCAAATTAATGAAGTTCCTACAGTATCTTTTTATCTATTTATTTGGGTTCTAGTTTGTGCAAAACGTTCAGAAATGAGTTTGAAATTCTTGTGTTGATTTAAATCTTAATTTAAAAAATTTAAAGAATCAGTCAAGTTTGATTTTGTTTAATGGATTTTTGGCTCAAGAATTTTCTAATTAGAACGTAATTTATTTCTTCGGAGATTTCTAAAAAATTTAAATTTCATCGGTTCCTGCAACGATTTTTGACAACAATGTACATATCAAATTGATCGTTAGGTTGTGAAATTTTGATTGTTGGTGTTGAAAATCGGATGGTGATTATTTTGACATTCAGAGATGGAAAGTCCAAAGTTTTTCAGAAGAATATTTTGAAATAGAAATTCGGTTTCTGTAAACCATGAATTATGAAATAATAGATACACAGATTTGTGGATGGCAAGTTTCTCACTATTTTCAGTAAACCATAATAAAAAATGAAATTTCTCGTTTTAATCTGGAAGACAAAAGCAAGCAGCTTTGAGCAAAGCAAGAGGAACGTCAACCCACTTGAATTATTGGACGCGATCAAGATGAGCAGTCGCTTCTCCTCGACGCAGCCTGCATTAATCACTCAATTTTTGAGATTAGTTACAAGAGAGAGTAATTTGCATTTTGAAAATTAATTTATAAATTTTTTGTTAACAAATTTAATAAAAAATCCTAATTCATCTTCAAGATAAAAAAGAAATTTAAGAAGTTTTTTTTAAATTGAAAATTGAAATTCAAACATTAAAATAATTTATTTTTTCATTAAAAACACAAATGATAAGAAAAAAAAATTAAATTAAAACGGCCTGTAGTTTTTTGTTGTTTCCGAACTAGTAATAGGTTTATAGGTTGAAACAAAAAGCCTGATGGATTGATTTTTATATACTTTAATGCACAATGCTTTATTTTAATTCGTCTAAAATTAGAACATTATTAACTATTCCTGAACTCGGCGCGTATTAAATATTATACATAATAAGACTCGTTCATTTTCTATAATATGGCTTACTTAAGTCAAACTAGAAGAAATCGCGACGCATTTTTACAAAATTAGTTCGTACAGCTATCAAAAAAATAAGCGCAACCACATTGCTGGTAGACATTTTCTAAATACGAAAATGCGCAAGTGGACGCCAAAATTATTCAGATCAGCTCTAAAGAGACACGTGGCTTAATAAATATTACTTATATACATCGTAGGCACCTTAAAGGCTAAGCCCAGGCAATTAATCGACTTTTATATATTTTCTTTCTCAAAAGTCTGTTATTTTTTTTTTAGATAAAATAATATTTACTTTGTGAACAGAAGTTGGAATGGCTCAGAAATCGAAGCTGAGAGAAAGAAACACGTCGGCTGGTGGTTCATCAAAAAATGATTTTTCTCAAAACGTGGACCTGCCGAAGCGGAAGCTGAGTTTTGCGCGCCGCTTCTTGCGCTTGTGTCTCTTCAGGAGGGCCTCGGCCGTGGCCACGTCAGCAGGTTCGGCGGCCAATTCGTCACCGTCGACGAAACCACTCTCGGCGCGCAGCTGGAACCATCTGTCCACTTTAGCGTGTGAAGTGAGCTGAAAACCAGGACGAGGAATTAGAAAAGTAATTTTATTTTAAATGTGATCAAATGGGTTAAAAACTACGACTACTGTAAAAAGGTATAAAATTCTCCAGGAAAATGAAAATGATGAATTACAAAAATTGGCAATTTTAATGGGAAAACTTTGTACACTAGCGAATGTAGCTGGAGCGGACAAAGCAAAAAAAACAGCAGCTCGTTTGTTTAATAATTTTCCCAAAATAAACTATGCAGTATTGCTGCTGGCCACATTTTGGTCAGGGGAAAAATAATATCAAACATGCTAAAGAGCTCTCGGGACGCAATAACATGCCGAAACAACGACGAAAAAATGCACTAATGAAAATTCCGTTTTTAGTGTCTCTGCACAATAAAAACCACAAGGAGCAAAAGAGATGTAAAAATAAACACACACACAGAGCCAGAGAGAGAAAACAACAGCACACCATGCCAAAAACAGGGGAAACTATAATTTATGGCAATAACAGCGATAAATTTTTCGGCGGCGCTTTTCGCTATTAATGCTTTTCGAAAAGGCACCCCGCAGCATCCGCAGTAGTGGCGGCGGCAGAATAGAAAATATAATTTTAGCCAACGCATATCTTTCGTTTTCCCTTCTACTTTTTATTCCGCTCTTCATCTGAGGAATCTAATTTGTTACAAAAATAACAACGACATTATTGGCAAGAGTACAAAAGACAGCAGTTTTCTAACAGAGAGAAAGAGAGAAGTCTGCTTTTACCTTGGAGCCAAAACTCGAGAGGCGCCGCTTCTCTGCGAAACTGTTTGTATATGAGCGAGAGCGAACGGGAGAGAGATTGTGATAAAAAAAAAATTATCTATAAAAATCGGTTTACATCGAGTCAAACATCATGCGAGTTTTGCGTCTTTATAAAAAATATTGTACTTTATTGTTTAAAAAAATCCAATATACACATTGGTTTTCTGTTCGCAAGCAAACAAATCGCGAGCTCATCGATCGCAATTAACATTTCAGATCTAACAATTATATAATTTTACACATATTATAATTTTGCTAATTTATGTATAGTTAACAGGGGGCTTAAAGTTAAAAATCAGAGTTTTTAATTAATTAAATAGATGGATTAGCGGGAACTCAATCAAATGGCAAATTATTATCAGTCTAGCTCTTACGTGTCTGTGAGGAAGGGAGGTTGCTGATTAATGCAGGGACACTCCATTTATTAGTGGCAGTATTTTCGTATCACAAAAAGGTACTCAATTAACTGGAGTCGAGAAGGGCACTCGCGGAAATTTCATTTTATAATACTTCATCGTCTAGTTAAAGCGAATAGTTGGAACTGAAGCACGAATTGATTTGAATTTTAATGAGAGTGGCTAATTGCTTGCTAATGGACGCAATTCAAACTCGTCAATGATTAATTCCTGGCTTGATTACTAAACTGGGAGTGCTATTAATTTTTTAAATTGAACTTGCTGGTAACAAATGAAATTTCTAAACTATAGGAACATATCAGAATTGAGAGAGAAAATAGGAATGAAAGTATTTTGTAAAATGAAATGATATTAAATTCCAAAAATTTCGGGAAATAAGCGATTTTGATCTTGAAAAGATTAATTTAATTTCAAGAGAGGAAATAAAGGAGCAGCCACTTATTCCAAACGCATTACAAAGAAAGTTTTTAAGTCTTTTTTAGTTCTTTAGATTTGTAAATTAGAGAAGATCGTCTTTTTACATTTGTAAAGAAAATATTTCTCCTCCACAGAATATCGTTTTTTCCCTTGGAAATTTTGATTTTTAGGGGCAACATCATCCAATCTAATTTAAAAATTTTAAGCTCCAAAATTTAGGCAATTTTTAACTGAAAGACTGGGCCAATTTTATTTTTGCTATTTAAATCAATGAGTCCCTCTTCAACTCCAGGCAAAATGACAAAACTGCTATTTGAGGTAGCCACATCTAGCCTATTATAGATTCCAAATTAAGAAGAGTTCAACCAATCAGCAATCATTTCATTTCAATAACGAAACCGCAACAAAGTTCATTCTGTGCTCGGCGTGTGGCTTTTTTACTTGGTCGTGTGCCTCGCCCACGCCGCCCGCGTCACTTGCGACATCAGTTCGCTTCGGTTGGGCACCTTTTCGCTGGTGGAGCGCGTGATGACCGGGACACCACTCACGTTGCCCCTGCGCAGCATCGCGGGGCTCGCCTCGTCCGACGAAGGCCCCGCGGCCACGCGCATCATCCCGAATGCGGCCACCAGGTCTTGCGGCCGGTCGGAGGTCGCGTTGTCCTCGACGGGCACGATGACCTTGACCCGGCCTTCCATGTCCGTGGTGGTCAGGGTGCCGACCTGCGACAGGGGCCGGATGAACTGCGTCTGCTCGGCGGCGGCGGCGGCAGTAGTGCCGGGGGTGGTTTGCGGAGGCGTGACAGGGGTGTTGGAGGGGACGAGTTTCGGAGGGGTGGGGGGAGCCTGAGCGGCGGCCACGGCCGCCGCGAACTCCCTGGCCGTGAAGGTGAAGTGGGGCTGGTCGGACTGCGCAAGCGCCGAGGGCGAGTTTTCCGGAGGGGGGTACGGAACGAGCCGGTGCGGCATGACGGGGGAACCTGAGTAAGGGGAGGTGCGGAAGGTGGTGGGGGCGGGCTGGTAGTAGGCGGGGGCGGGGGCCGGCGACTGGGTCCGGTAGAGGGCCTGCAGCCTCTGGATGAGGTCTGCGCTTTGGTAGGAGGTGTAAAGGGCATTGGCCTGAGCCTGAGAGGTGCGTTGCTGGCTGAGCAGTGCGTCCTGAAGGTCGTGCGGAAGGTACACAGGTGCCAGGGCAGGTGTCTGCGCCTCGCACAGCACCGCCATCTGCGGAAAATTAAGAGAGGCGCGCGCTAGCAACAAGATGCAACTATGGAGCCCTCGAGAGGGCAGAAGTGGTGAGCGTGTGATGAGAGGGGAAAGCGGAGGGCCTGGCGTCAGGTGTCGGGTGCGGAAAGAGTTTTGTGCTTACCTGAGGTACCATTGTGACGCGGGGTGAACTGGGGGTGATCTGTTGTTGAGGGACGCCGCCCTGTTGTCGCTCCATGTCTTGAAGGTGCACAACCAACATTTGGATGTGCTCCAGTAGCTCTTTATTGTGAACCAAAAGCTGGTGCGTTCTCGACTAAAGTAAAAAAAAAAAAACTTCAATTAGGTTAATTTTCATAGAGAATGTACTGAATTATTTATATTTTAATTATTTCATTGAAATGCAATTAATAATACATGAAAATCTTTGGAGAAAAAAGTCAAACGTACATTGAATTTGCAACAATTACAACCAGATTTTAAGCCACATTCATCAATATTTATTAATTTTATGTTTTGTTTATTTATTTCATTTTTTGAATATTTGTTGCTAGATTAAAAATTATATTATATACATCGCATTATTAAAATATGTAAAACATTTAAAAATAAAATAAAATAACGCAATGTAATAAAATAATCAAAACTTTTTTTTAAAAAAAAGTATTCGTTTTAACTTTTAACTTTATGTTTATTTGATTTTGTTTTAAAAATAAAATAAAAAATACACGGAAAATATAAATGATGAAAACCCGCATCAAACTAAATTCATGGGCTCGGCTTTCAATTCCGTGGCGAAGCTTAAACGCCACACCGACTTCATCATTTCCATAATAATCCACAAGCACTTCCAACAAGTTGAGCATCTGCACTTGCTGGCAAATCCACCCGCCCCTGCTTTCCGCAAATAATGATGGCTTTTGAATAATAATGAGATTTCGTGTCACAGAGAGATTTGAATCTGCGTCTCTCTCTCTGGAGCGTCATTAAGTTCATAACTTGGCGCGTGTTCTGCATGGAAAACCACTTCCTCACCTGCGCTTCAAGACGCGCCGCCGTTTCCGCTGCCAGCTGGTCACGTAGCAGGTGCACTTGCGCCACTGCGGCGTGCGTTTGCTGATTTTGCTGCTCCAGTTGCTCGCGCAAAAGTTGAAGTTCATGTTGGGTGGCCATGCCGAAGCTTTCGTCGCCACTTCCACTCTGAAACAAAGATCAAGAAATAATTTTAATTTTGTTGCCCTGATGAAATTGTTATTTTTAAATGTAGACTTTTTTGAAACGATCAGGAAAAATAAAAATCGATAGCAGAAAAAAGTGTAATTAAGGTCAAATTTATTTTTGCAATTTTATTTAATTTTATATGTTTTATTTGAATTTTGCAAGATTTTTTACGAAGAAATGTGCCATTGAAATGCAAAGAACGTAAAAAAAGACGTGAAAAAGGATGGCCCAGTTGGGTTTTGAACCCGGCCTGATTCCGGGCCCTGGGGTCTAGTGACTGATGGGCACTGGGGTCTCAAGCTGACCTCACACTATGCTCTAACTTCCATAGGTGCGGGTTCTCTACCCAACTGAGCTACCACCATCCTCAACAATCAGAGTTAAAATGGACAATATGTAAGAGGTGACGGCCTGATTTAGGTTCGCGCGTCACAACAATGAGAAATTTTTTCGATTGTTGTTTTAGGTCTCTGGTATTGAAAATAGACCATAATTCCAACGGTGTGTGCATGTCATTGTCACTTTGAAATTCTGGTGGAAATTCGTGTTTGAAAATTTTCAAAAAGATTCTTGTAAGAAACAATGCAAATGCTAATTTTTAACGTAGACTTTTTGAAATGACCAGGGAAAATAAAAATCTATAAAAGAAAAAGTGGGCACAAAGAATAAAAGTTTTGTTAATTTCAAATTTATTTTTGCAATTTTAATTAATTTATATGTTTCATTTGAATTTTGCAAGATTTTTCACGAAGAAATGTGCCATTGTAATGCAAAGAACGTAAAAAAAGATGTGAAAAAGGATGGCCGGGTTGGGTTTTGAACCCAGCCGTATCCCGGCCCAGGTCGGGGCTCCGAGGTCTCCTTCCCTCTATCGAATGTCCCTCTGTTGTGTGAGCTTGGGTTCTCCACCCAACAGCCATCCTAGCAATCAGAGTGAAAACGGACGGTATTTAAGAGGTGACTGGCCGGTGTAGGTTTGCGCGTCACAACAATGAGAATTTTTTTCGATTGTTGTTTCAGCTCTCTGGTATTGAAAATAGACCATAATTCCAACGATGTGTGCATGTCAATTTCACTTTGAAATCCCGGAGGAAATTTGCTTGAAAAAAAAATTTATAAAGATTGACCAGCAGGAAAAATAAAATTCAATAATAGAAAAAAGTGGGCACAAAGAATAAAAGTTTTGTTAATATCAAATTTATTTTTGCAATTTTAATTAATTGTATATGTTTTAACTGAATTTTGCAAGATTTTTTACGAAGAAATGTGCCATTGAAATGCAAAGAACGTAAAAAAAGATGTGAAAAAGGATGGCCCAGTTGGGTTTTGAACCCGGCCTGATTCCGGGCCCTGGGGTCTAGTGACTGATGGGCACTGGGGTCTCAAGCTGACCTCACACTATGCTCTAACTTCCATAGGTGCGGGTTCTCTACCCAACTGAGCTACCGCCATCCTCAACAATCAGAGTTAAAACGGACAGTATTTAAGAGGTGACGGGCTGATGTAGGTTCGCGCGTCACAACAATGAGAAATTTCTTTCGATTGTTGTTTCAACTCTCTGATATTAATTAAAAATAGACGTTGATTTTTTCATTGTATAACAAAAATGGGAATCGCAGGCACAAAAATAACACAATTTGGAGGTGTCAAATTAAAAAAATAATAATAATAATAATAATAATCTTGTAAGAATAAAATAGAAGATAACTTGAAAATCTCAATTTTTGAAAGAAAAAAATGTTATTAATAAAAATTCATGTTAAAAGTAAAAAAAAATTTACTTTCAAAGAATTTGTTTGAAATTATATGCAATTTTAATTTTGTTTATCAAAATTTTTGTTGCTGACCTAAGGAGAATAAATTATAAAAAATTTTTATATTTTACGCCATAAAAAAATGGAAGGGTTGCGAAAATAATAAAACAATATATAGCTTTTAAAAGGGACTCAGGCGGATTTCCATGCAAGTGAGCATTTCAATTAAAGTTCCCGATATCAATAGAGCCACGTTAATAATGTACTCGGCGCTTGAGAGCCAATAAAGTGCCGCAAAAACGTGTCGCTCGCCGCTGGAAACAGCTCCTGGAAAATAGGCCACCGGCGCATAATTGTGGACGCACAAGGAACGCGTAAAGGGAGCACTTTCGCAAGCTGCAATATTTGCCATGAATAAAAAGGTGCGCCATATACGGCCCTTTTATTTCTAGATCTTTCTACCTGCGCCCATTCCGAGAGTTATAAAGTTCCCAAAGGAACGCGCAAAAGTGTTTCATCATACGCGGTAAAATGCGGACTCGCTTCACATGACTGCAGAACTTGCGCAGCTTTAAGAAAAGTTGCGAAAATTTTTTAATAAAACACGCATTACTTGCAATTCTAGCGATAAAAATTTTGCGTCGACGATTAAAATCATCAAACAATTACGTTCTTCAGGAAAAAACCATTTAAAAATGAATATATTAAAGTTTAATTTATTTCCACTATCAATATCTTCTTTGTAAAAAAAGTTTTTTAAAAAGAAGCCTAAAACTGTCTAAATGTACATCAAATGAAGTAATATAAACAAAGATTATAAAAAAATATTTTAATATTTCACCTGTTTTAACCAAATTTTGATTATTGATCGGAAAATTTGTAAAAAGTAAATTATTGTATAAATTATGTAACCGTATTACCATTTTTGTATGTTGTACACACTTGTGTCTAATAATATATTTTGTTTTTTGTAAATTTTGATTATTATTATTGATATTTATTGACTTAAGTTAGTGGAGTTTATAAAAAAATTGTATATATTTATTTTGGCCTGCTCAAAAATCACTTTCATCAAAATTTAAAATGGTTCATTACTTTCTATTTATTTAAACTTAACTAAAATCAATACTGAAAAGTTTTGAATTTAGTTCAAAGTGTAAATTGTATAAAAAATTTCAAGTGAACTCACAACTGTGGCAGATCTCCGGCTATTTCCATTCGTCGGAGTCATTTGCGGCGGCGCCAGGTCGAGTCTCAGCCCTGCCGTGGAAGGTTGTTGGTGCTGCTGCTGCTGCGGCGCCATCGGCGCCGGAGGAGTTTGTGGCGAAGTGATGACGGACGGCGACAGGGTCGGCGCCGAGTCGCTCGGCGAGTCCATCAGTTGCGTCAGGACGCCTGAATCGGCCGCCAAGGTGTCGCAGCTCACCGGGTCACCGATCATATTTGTCACGTCTGCAAAAAAGAAAAAATGAAGATTGAATTAATTAAAGTTAATCAGTCTTGTCGGACAAAATACATTAAAGAGTTAATGGAAATCTGGCAGGCCCGCGACTTATTATTTAAGTTGCCAATCAATCACGCGAAGCAAGGAGGCAGCCAAAGTGGCGAGATTCATCATCAATTTTTCGCGAGCCCTCGACGTGGATTAATTGCAGAGAAGCTGTCGCGACGCTCGGCCCCGCTTTTGGCTCTAATTATCTGTGATAATTTGACGCTGCAACTTTTGCGATCAATCAGGCACGCGAGCCTCCAAGGGCTGGTTAAAATTACGCACGAAATCCGCTTTGCAAGTTGAGAAAAAAATCTGCTGAAATTCAGCACACCATTATTTAAATTAATTTGCATTTATGAATGTTTAAAAGCATTGGGAAGCATAAAAGATATTTTTTTGAGAAAGATTAAGGTTTTTAGGAGCCAGTGCAGGGTTCATGAATAAATTATTCTGAAATGAAAATCACCATTTTGGTTGGAAATCACGAATCAAGAAATTAAAATATACCATTTACACAGAATAAATTAAACTCCGGTCTAACGTTTACTGTTTAAATTATATACGTAGAATTAAATGATTTGATCAAACTTGAAATAAGGTTGTATCCATATCCATAATTATAAAAAAAGTTTTGTTACAGTAAAATTATTTAAATAATGATAAAAATTTAATATGAGATAATTTATTTATTAAATAAACTTAAAAGTAAAATTTTAAAATGACTAGAAAGTAAATTTAAATATTTAATTTTAAATTATTATTACTGAAAACATTATTGCTCTAGCCATCTTTTTAACGCATATTATGTAATTCTTAAAAAGTGAAAAATTCAAAAAAAAAAAATAATAACAATAATAATAATTTCAAACCAGAAGCTTGATTATCGTTTATTTGAAAAAGAAGGCCATTCAGTTTTCCTCCATTTTGTACAACATATAGAAGCTCAAGTAGATTGTTTTATTATTTTGTTTCCAATTGAAGCTGAGAAAACTTTGTGAACTTTTGAATTTCAGCAAAGGCAGAGAAAGGGAGAGAGAAATAATTAATTTGATTTAAATTACGCTTAGCTTTCTCATAGTTGTAAATCCTAACAAAATAATTAAATATTGACTAAAAAATTTTACTTTAATTTGCACTGCTACTTTTAATACTTAATTAATTGTTCCTCAAAATATATTTAAACTCAAAAGGCATTCTTTTTATCGCTGATTGTCAAAGAAAATTTGCTAGTGTGTCAGAAAACGGCAAAATCTGGGAAAAAGCGGAGGAACGACAAGTGTTCCAATCAGTCCATTCATCACCAGAGCGCGACTCTCGGCCTTAAAAATTTCAACAAGCGAAAACAGCGCGTAAATTTATGTTGGCTGCTGGATGCACTCCAAGAACGTCACTGCGCGCCGATCGCGTTTGCCCCGCCGCGTCACAAATCATAAATCACCGATCCGCTGGAGTTCCAGACACCCTATTCGTTATATCTGCCGAAATATAGGCCACGGCTCGACGCGCTGACGTCAGATTCGCTCCCGACCAACATGTGTCGCGGCTCTCGCGAGGAATCGTTCTTTTTGCTCCCTTCCTCCATCGCCTTTGTACAATTCCGAACAAGTATAAAAGCGCGGACACAAAGGAAGGATGATAAAAAAGTAGGTTCACGGAGAAGGAAAACTTGCATCGCCATCTGCATTGGACGGACGCTTCTTTTACTTTCCTATAAATCAACCGTTCAAACTTCTTTTTTATCAAGAAAAAGATCGATATGGAAATTTTTGCGGAAACTTTTTCGCTCCTATCCGTACAAATCAAGAGAAACGTTTTCTTTTTCAAAATTAACCCTCACCACGCCGATTGACGTTGAAAAGGCAATAAAGCAAGGGGCTCGAAAAATCGCGGCTCCCAATCACGCCGAGCGAATCAATCAATAATTCATGAGACGTTCTGGAGAGCGAATTCCGCGACCGTTTAACCCACAGAACAAGGGAGTAGTGGATGATTGCGATTTGAACGACGTTATTAAAAAGCAGTCGACTCGCGCTGGCGGTAATAATGGCCCGCCTTCCGTCGCGGTCGCAAACTATGCAAGCCGCGTGCTGAGCACGAAGCGCCGGTTGCATACCCAGGCTTTGGCAGGCAAACCACACCAGGAGTTTTCAAGTTTATAAAAATCTTGGCTCTCAAGTAGAATTAATTTAAATTGAAAATTATATAAAATTTAAAAATTGAAATACAAAAATTTAAATATAAATTTTAAAAATGTATATTTTAATTTTTATTAATATTTTATTTAATTTTAATTTAAAATTTTTTCATCCAAATTAGTAAGGACAAAAATTTAAATAAAATTAGAGTTTTTCAATGATAAAAGAGGAAGTCAAAATTGAAATTCTCAACATTCAATTCTTGCGAATTAACATTTGTTAGCCTCTTTAGTAATGTCAAATTTGATTTCTGGGAATTCTCTTTCGAGTGTGAACCATGGAAACTAAAAGTAAAAATTGGAGTCTAGATTAAATATTCTGCATAATAAGTATGAGTTTTCAGTAATGTTTTGTAATTTTTCTGATATTTTAATCGGATATGAACAAATAAGGAGTTTCTCCCTCTTTAGTTTGTTTCATAACTCTGATTCTTTTAATAACTTAATGTTTTATTATACCCGTTGGTTTATCAATAAACTCAATAAGTGACTTAAAAACGATTTAACAACTTAATTTTACTATCTCTGTTTTGACTTAAAAGAGTTAAAAGTAGATAATATAAATTATATCAACGCATTTCATACTGGAAAAATGTGGTTTTTAATTAATTTTATTTTTTGAAACAACTTTCTATTAATCTATTCAAGTTAATTAACAAGATTTAACTGACCTTTGGTAAGTGCCTTGTCCAACGAGGCGTCGGTGCTGTCCCTGTCGCTGGCGTTGTCAATTGAGATCAGCTGGTCCTCCGCCTCTTGTTCGTCCTCCTTGGGCGGTCCATTCAGCGACAATTTGTGGCACACCTCGAAAGCCTGGCCCACCGTGCGTACTATCCGCATCGCCTGGCTCTGAAATCAAAAGTAAATTCCATTTAAAAAAAAGTTCATTTATTTCAAATATATTACAAGTATATTTGGAGTTAAAGACGGTTTAGACGGTGCTTATGCAACTGGCGAAACCAAGCAGCAGATGTATTATTTTATTTTTATAAGTGAATTTATAAAAAAAATTTAAATTGTAATACAAAGTTTTTCAATACAATGGCGATAGAAACCATTTTTAATGCGAAATTAAACATAATTTTTCGACACTAGATCTTGTAAAGTAAAATTCACGTCCATTAAGCAAGAGATTTCTTTGCAGCAATTAAATATTCCATTAAGAGCTTTTAAGCGAAACAAAAATGCCTCTTCATCGTCATTGTCTGCATCTCGCCGAGGGGCTGATGAAAAATTCATAAACGCCGGCAGACAACAATGGAAACAAGATCTACTCTCTGCCGTGCGCGAATCAAGTTTTTAATCGGAATTGCGCGAGCAAGGTGTTCGCTCATTGTGCGCCAAATCTGCTCATTGTGCGGCGGATCGTTAATTATTCACCATTTGCGTTGCTAATTCAACTAAAACAATGAGCTGCGCACGGCGGATGGAGCAGGTGGAGCGGCAACTACTAAGCCTGCGGCACGCAATTGTTGCAGCCCCAAAATGAAAAAAAAAACCAAAGGATTGTATAAGAATACTGGATAACATAGCTTAAAAATTATTTTCTAATTTTATAATAGAAATAAAAGTAACACAATTATTATTAAGTTAAAAAAATTATTTTACATTTCTTACGTGTTTAACTTTTCTTTCAATTGCATTATTTTATTTGATTAAGATTTATAAATGTTCGATGTAAAAGGTGATGTTGATTAGGTCTTAAACGTATTTCTGCTTGAAAATTTGCAAGCAGGTCTAAGAAAACTTTCATAAATCAGGACTTATTGTTAAACGTGTAGTCCTACTTGAAAATTTTCAAGCAGGTCTATTAAAATTTTGGTAAATTAGGACTAAAACGTAGTCTTAAATTAAAGAGTGGTAATTAAGGGGTTGTCAATGATTGTGTTGTTTCAAATAGTATCGAGAATATAACTAAATCGAAAACGCATGCAAAAATGAAAAGAATGCGATCATATTTTAAAAATCAAGACGCATCAAAAATATTAATACCTTGTTGAGACCTACTACAATAAACAATTTTTTTTAAATTCAAAATAAATAAATAAATTAACATTTTTTGGAAATTGTTCACCATCCTGAATGTCTTTCAATCTTCTGGACCTTTTTGAATTTTGGGACCCTATTTTTTCAGAGAAATTTGTGAAGAAATCAAGACTTTTGAATTTAAGCGTCTTGTATGTTTTCAAATTCAGTTCTTGCTAAAAAGGCTTTCGCATAAAAACTACTTTACCTGAAACTGTAGCCTAAACAATTTCCATTTCTCTTTGGTAAAACGTGACAATTTGCAGGTCTCATACCCCTGATGGTGCAATTAATTTTAAAATCTGCAATTGTTTGCAGTTCGTTGTGAACGTGCCGCAGTGGATGGACGTGCAGCGAATTAATCAGCCGAGAGAGGTGCATGGATGGACGTGTCCGTCGATCCTCGTCGGCCTCATTACTCGCAATCGAACGCGATTCACACTTCGCCACTCGCGCAAGGCTTAATTTGCTTTCTTTATTTTGCCCTCTCTGGCTGGCGCCGCCGCCGCCGCCGAGTGAAAACAACACACTTTGCTAATTAGAGCCGGCAGGGGGGTGCGGGGCGTGTGAATTAACGGCTGTTGACACACAATCATTTGCATGGCTCAAACGAACGTGTGCACTTCGTCAGTCCGACGAGCAAACTTTGAGCGAACGGCTGCACTCGAGGGCACTTGAACGCGCGCAAATTGAGTGCCGCAATAATTGCAATTTCCACTGCTCAGTATTAACGTGATAATTAGGTTTGGGATATTTCAAACTTAAGTGTTTAATTAGTGTGATAATTTCCTGCGTCTTCAGCTGATCATAATTTATTTAATTACATCATATTGCAGGTAAAATTAAAGAATTAATCTCAATAATATAATTAATTAGTAAAATGTAGCGCGAAGAAACCTCGTCAATTAAATGTGGTGATACATTTTAACCATAAAATATATACTTTAACTGTGATTATTTATAATTCACATAATCATAAAATATCAGAAATAAATGTATGTAAATTGTCAAATTTTAATGAATTAAAGAAAAATTGCAGCATGCAGCACAAAGCAGAATGAATTTAAAATTATTTATTTAATAATTTAAATATAAAATGGATAATATGAGCTTAATAATAAAATAAACATGTTACATTCTCATCTTTTTCATTTTAAAATAATTATTCTTTCAAAACTAACTATAAAAAATTTCTTCTTGTTGCAAAAATGGCAAAAACAAATTGCTCTACCAGTTTCGGTCACGGTATGCGACCATATTTCATGAGCAAGAAAAATAATTTTTATTTTTGAAATCGAGGAAAAAAACACCAAAAAATTTCATATAAAAATTCATGTTGAAATTCATGTTAAAATGAGATGTTTCTTTCAATTTGCTAACATTTTTGTATTTTTTTCTTGCTCATGAAATCGGATCAAAGACTGTGATCAAAACTGAGCGAGCCTTTTAACAATTTTTGCAATGAGGCAAAGCCCAAATCTTCATTTCTATGATCATCTCCTCGAGTGTCAACATCTTCAAACAATTTATTGTATTCTTTTTTTTAAATTATTACTTTAAAACGATTTTTATAATAAGTCAATTTGACTTGATATAATTCATCGGTGTGTCATAAACTGTGCATTTAGCAATCTGCTTTATTTTCTTTGTTGCCTAAAAAATGCTAGGATTAACAAAAGCGGCCGCCTTTGACAGCTCGAGTGAAAAAGAACGTGTGTGCGTTGTCGCCGGAAATAGCCGCGCAGACTCATATTTTTATTCCCGGGTGGCCTTGACCTTAAACTTACTTTCGGTGCACCCGTTCAGGCCGTGTGAATGGTGCGTGACGATTTGCACATTGCTCGCTCCAGCCTCAATGAGCGAGCGATCGCGGTTTACACACATGCACGGCTCGTCCGACGAACAGGAAAGAGCGATAAGAAAATCGTTAAATCCGCAAGTGCCACATCTGGCTTTGATTATTATGCTTGCATATTAGCCGCTGTTATAGATATAATTAGAATCGTTTCAGTTTCAAGTTGGCATCAACTTCTGCAATTATTTTTATAACGATTTAATAGTTCGTTTCACTACTAAATTTTCCTTATTTGTAATAAGAGACTGACATTGTTTATGTGTATTAAATTATTACAAGGTGATTTCATACACAAATCGCTCAATTATTCTGTTTGATACTGCATAATTAATGTTTCTAGAAATTGTCATTATTAATAATAGAATATTTCTATTCCTACAGTCAATTTGAATTGGTATTTTTTGGTTTCCCAAGGAATTTTGTATATTAAATATTCAAAGTACTTTGTAAATTCCGCTTAGTATGCTGCAAAATCATATCTGCCAATTAATTTTTCAATCAAAAAATTCAAAAAAATCCGATACAAAATAATCCCAATAGTTAAAATCCTTCAATTAATAAAACTCCAACTTAAAAAAAAAAAAAAAAAAAAAAATAACAAAATTATTTCTGACAAGAAAAAGGTCTTTTTTTTATTTAATACCCAAAGAAATTCCATGTAAAGGTGATTAATGTAGTTATTAATTAAGTAAAATACCAGTAAATAGCACTGATTGTGAGAAAATTTAATTATTGAAGGAAAACTAATTAACTAACATATTTCCGCACAACTCTTTTGTTAATTGAGTTTCAAAATAATAACAAAAAATTCGTTCCGGTGCATTTGACGAAAGTTTTAACTGTCTGAAGCGATTTAAATTCATAAATTTTGAATTGCAGATCAATTATTTGGTTTCAATCAATTTAAATTATGTCTATTCCACTGAAATTTGAAGAATTTAGATTTCAAATAAAATTTCATCGTGAGTAATTCCTGCTAAAATTATAATTATTATGGTTTAGAATTTCACCAATTTATACAAATTAATTAAAACTGATGCCAATATTAAGTTAAATGATTTGAAAATTGGTATTTTAATTTTCATTGTTGAATTCCTTTGAAATTGACAAACTCGATGGACTACAGTTTGTCTTGCATTTTTAATTTTTATACGTATTTTTTTAAATTCCTTAATAAAATAAAATTTTAGCACAATAAAGCATTTCTTGCACAGTTTTCTTTAAAATAAAATCTCAAGAAAATTGGTGCCGTGCGAAATACCTCGAGTTCCGATTCCTCTCCGACCTCGCCTACCGGGTGCAGCGTGGCCCTGCCGAAGACCCTGTTGTTGTTGCGCTCGACCACCATGGTGGTTTGCTGCTGTTGCTGCTGCTGCTGCTGGAGGATTTGCGTGGACGAGTTCTGGGCGAAACGCTTGCGAATGTGTCCGACGATCTCGGGCTCCCTGAAGGACAGTTTCTTCCTGGGCTTGTCATTGGCGTTGGGCCGCGGCGCCGCGTCCTCCTTGCCCTTCAGCATGGTGGGCCGCCGCGCATCACGCCTCCGCCGCCACCCGCTCCGGACACTGACACGCACCGCGATCGTCCGCACGCTCGGACGCGACTGCTCCGATCCTTTCTCCTGTCCGGCTATTTCGGTGGCGGCCGGCCATTCTGCCAGGGACAATTTTAGCTCGCCGCCGCCAAACGCCGAAGCGCGCGACACAAACCGCGAGCGCGCGCGAGACCGCCAGCAGCACTTTTTTTTTCTTCTTTTCTTCCCCTTGTCTTCTGCTCTCTGCACCAGATGCATCCAACGCACGGGACCAAATAATTCAAAATTTGGCATTGAAAGATGCAGAGTCCGTGACGTTTGGTATTCATTTTTGGCAAAACAACATTTCTATTATTCTTTACACAATTTTATAATAATATTTTTTTATTAAACGTGTTATTTGAAAAAATTATAACATTTAAATAGTTTTTTTAA